GTGACTGTACTGTCAGCAGTTTGGTGGGTGGTGTGAAGGCCCAACTGCTTTTGGTCAAAACCCAAATCCCCATATTGCTTCTAGTTCACTTCCAACTAATTATACAGACAGAATGATTTAATTTGAACCCTCTGATTGGTAAAGTAAAGAAACTAGAAACTAAAAGTAAGACTGTTTAATTGTGTCATATCCTAAGTTTGATAAGGCTGCAGGTGCCACCATGAAAGAGCTTAAATATTTTACATTTTCTTGTATTTCATTTTTGTGTGAGTTTATGCACCAAAAACAATAATAGTTTTTTCACATGACCATGTTCTAACTGGCTGTTTTTGTTACTACACCTATATGTAAGCTGTGCTCTGCCTTAAAGGCTGTCCAGGCTGAAACACTCCTTATAACTTCAATGTGAGTGGACAGGGCTTAACAACTGTAGGTTGAGTAGGTGGATATGTTTTTGTGACATTACAAAAGCAATGAATTCAAACCAGATCCTTTTTATATCCCATTTATAGAATGTATGAGCTGTCAAGAACAGTATGTTTCCAAACTTTACCTACTTCATCAAACTCTTATTTAAAAAAAAGCAGGAAAAATGTAGTTTTCCATGATATGGGTCATCTTTAATCCAATGCTATATGAACTTTGGCTCCCTCTCTGGATGCAGTAGACTTAATACAAGTAGAATTGCTACATGGAAAACAAGAAGAACAATAAAAGCAGCTTCAGATTTTGTTGTTCTTTGCTAAAATATGTTATTTATTTTGCTGTTTATATTGCCTCTCAAGATGTGATATGCTTACTACAGGGATTATTATAAATTCAGAATTGTGCCTTTCTTTGCTGGAATATTTATGTTGTTGTTCGTACAGCCTTTTTTTCTCCTCACTTTCATCAAAAGTGTCAGTTATTCAGATTTACTGTGTCCTTGATAGCACATACCAAAAGTTAGCACACTTACTTCTGTATTCTACTGGGTTTCATTATGAAGCAGAAACTAAAACATTCATAGTCTAACGTTGGACTAATGCCAAAGTTGTCATTAAAGGAAGTCATTTCTGCTGTGGAAAGCAGGTGGCATGCATTTAGAAAATGCACTTTTGACAACTTTTTGAAGTTGAATGTGGCTTCTAAGTAAAATATACTGTAAACAGTGTTTTAATGTGTCTATAATAATTTACTGAAGTCAGAAAAATGTGGTTTCGTCCAATAACAGTAAAGGTTGAATTTGGTCTATTATCATTCATTACATAGAAATGGAGGAAATCTAAGGTATCAGTATCCACACTGACAATCATGGAGATGAATATCAATAGTGCTTTACAGCCCATATGAAAATCTGATGTATGGCAATATATGGATTTTAATTTTAAGACATATATTAGCATATATTTTTCTTATCCAGCTCAAATTTGTCACATATGGACATATGTGACACATACACCAACATATTTGACATATATTTTTCAATATATATTTCAGCTGCATATTAATCTATAGAATTATATACACCGATCAGGCATAACATTTTGACCTGTCAGTGTTACTGCAGTGCTGAGAATGATCCACCACCCAAATAGTACCTGCTCTGTGAGGGTCCATGGGGGTCCTGACCACTGAAGAACAGGGGAAAATGGGGCTAACAAAGTATGCAGAGAAACAGATGGACTACAGGCTGTAATTGTAGAACTACAAAGTGCACCTGTATAGTAAGTGGAGCTGATAAAATGACCCTTTATGATTTGTGTGCATATATGGCCATATATCAGATTTCCATACACTGGCAGAAGGTTCTGTGCAGGTACATTTTTCGTTCATATCCCCCTGTCTCGGATATTGTTAGTCTCTTTATTGGCATTTCCAAAACCTTACGCCCAAACTTAAACTGCTAGAATTCTTTCTTATTCTAAATAAGAAATAAGAAATCTCTTTTTCTAAATCTCATATCACTCCAATTCTTTATTACAGTTGTTACACTGGCTACTATTTTTGGAGTATTATTTCCATTAGTTTCATTATTAATGCATGTTTTTACAGCTTGGCTCTATAATAGGCTACATTACGGTCACAGCAAGGTAACATTACAAACTGTTTTACCATTTCTTGGACTACCTTGAAAAAATGATGCCCTGGTTTGACTTGATTTGAATGTGTACATCATTTCCACATGAACAAACTATATTACAACAACACAATTTTAACTTTCAGTGTGCTTAATTTTGACAATACGTGTGTTAAAGCAACATAAATCTTTGTATCATATAACCGTATTCATGTGGAAATGATATACGCATTTGAATCAAGTCAGTTCAAAGCATCTCTGTTTTCAGTGCAAAGTTTTTAGGTATCAAATTCAAAGTTATTGTAATTACCAATAACTGGTAACAGCATACTTAATGATGGAAAAAAAAAGTAAATAAAGAAAGACGTAGCCCCTGAAACGGAGAGGGGAGTGGGTACTCAGGGCAGAGAAGGCTGATGAGACGCAGTCAAGTAGAAAACAACAGCTGCTTAGCTCCTGGCTACAAACCTAGGTAACACATTTGCAAGGGAGGTACGGAGACAGTGAAGGAGGATGTCTTTCAAGACAGGAGGAAACAGATGCAGTACGCTGCTTTATCCACTCTCCACCCTCCTACGCTCTTACCTGACTATTTATAAAATATGCTCGTGCTCTAGATGCTTTGTGACACAACTGACCTCGTCACCACATTAGTGCAGTAACTGTTAAATGAAGAAGTGACCCTTTAAAGGAGTGAAATTGACTTTTTTTTTTAGGGTACTTCCCTAAAATGTCTCTCATTATGCAGAGTTAAATGTTGACCAAAAGTGGTGACTCTTTTTCAGAAATAACATTTTTGGAGGCCTTTTAAACAAGAAGTAATCGAACATAAAGAAAAGGCACCCTAGATAGCAAAAGGATAGTGGGCCAGTGCTCGTCCATGGACGGCAAAGCTGGCGGCTCGCTGGCTTCTCAGCGTTTTACGAGCAGCTCACTGGTGGTTAAGCAGACAAAACACCACATTTAACCACTCGTTTTGCACTCACAGTCCAATTTACTTGTTTTTCCTGCATTTCTTTCTTTCCTCAACCTTTGTATACATACATACATACGTACATCATCTAAACTGCTTATCCTTCTGGGTTGCGATGGGGTGCTGGAGCCTATCCCAGCTGTCAGTGGGCGGAAGGCAGGATACACCCTGGACAGGTCGCCAGTCCATCACAGGGCAGAACCTTTGTATATTAGTTTAGTAAATAATTTTAACAGCAATATCATAAATAAGGCCAGCTATACAGCTTTTACCAATCTAGCACAGTGTTAGCAACAACATTTTCAACAAAAACATTTTATAAAGGCCTAGCCATCATTTTTTCTCTCAGTAGTTTGTAATATTTGTCTAAGTTTATTTTCCACAGTGAAAGACTATGTGCATTGATAATCTGTTTGACTAAACAGACTGCAGGGCAATAATCTAGGTGGACTAACAGTGGCATTATCAAGCTAGTGGACCGATATATATGCTAGCTATCTGGGACGCAGACATAGAAAACACTTCATTTATGAGGAAAAAGTTTTAATATTACCGCAAAACATATTTTGCTTATTTGACTTTGAGTTAGATGAGGGCTGTAAATGTACAACATTTGCTTTTCTAGTGATTAATACATCTCATTTTCATTATTCATATCTTGAATGCTAACATAAATGCGAATATAAAAGCAGAGGAGCAGGTTATTTGTCCAAATCATCAGGTGGTGAAATTATTTTCAGAATGTACTTGTCAGAAATCAGAAAGTTGTCACTGCCTTTGCACACAGATTAGCATTTGCTAAGAATGAGTTAGCCTAGCAATAAGAAACCTTTTGCTAGCAAACGTACAGGTCTAAACTCACTCAAACTGCAAATAACTGTTTCAGTAAGGTTCGGATAAGGAAAAGCTACTGAATCTCTATTAATTAACAAGTTGAAGACATTAAAGGAGATATTGTACCTCATAAAGCTGTGCTATATAATCTCAGTCTGCTAATTGCTACATTATTGAATCAGGAGTGTAATAGCAGGCAAAAACCTGCACAGAGCCTCAGGACTGCAACTGAATAGGACTGACATACTGTCAGCAACTGGCACAGTCACACATGTGGTTGTACAGATAGCATTATAACATTATGTCTTAGCACTTCATTATTCAAATGTAATTCTCTTGCTATTGAGGTCTACAAAAAACAGAGAAAAAAAATACAAAGCCACAAGCTGCACTACAGTGGATTTTATTTAAAGCATATTAAGAATAAATAAAAACATGAATATCTTTTTATTAACTTCATCATCTGAACTCATTAAGTGCCGCGTGTGTACACTCTTAGCAAAATGGTTCTATACAGTACTGAAAAAAAGGTATTTTGACTTGTAACAATACTAGAACACTTTTTGGTGCTACATAGAACCTTTTTGTTAAAAGAACCATATACAACTGAGTTTTCATTAGAGAAGAGCCATTTGACCATGCAAAAACCATCTATGCATTCAAATGGTTCTCTGAGTTTAAAGAACCCCTAAAGAACCTTTTTTTAAAGAGTGTAAGCTTTCACATCAATGACATCGGCACAAAAAACAAACCTGCTTACATGTAAGAGGGAAAAGGTAAATGGCCTGAGCGCTTATAAAAGGAGAGATAACAGGTTCAGTGCTCTGTGACATCCTTATGGCAAAACTTAATGGAAAAATCTACAGTGTACAGTCAGCAAATCAAACTGCATTGTTTAGTTTCTTCTCAGTATATGCAGTCTTACTGTATTTTTAATAAGCTGAGTTACTTGGAGTAAGCTGTAGAAGTTACATTTCCCATTTTTTAAACCCTCTATGATTTGTTCTTATATCAGACATATCATTTTAAGTCATTTAAGCACATTTTTGTATTATTTCCAAACATGCCAGCCATTGAAACCTCCTGCTCACATGCTTCTCTTGTGCTTTTGTGCCCTGACTGAAATGCTGTCAAGGGCATGAAAATAGATCTTCTTGCTTGACACAGAGCCTCCCAGTGGTTCAGAGTTCAGACCACTGCTGCCATCTACTGTATAGTAGAATAAACTTATCTTTTTTCAGATTGTTCAGCACTGGTGGAGAAAAAGCTTGTCTTGAAGTTTCTCCCATTCTCCTATTGCACCATTCCCATCATTAGATCTGCTTTTCACTCTCAGATTCGCTTCTGTTCTTTCAACATGAATAATTTCAGCATTTCCCTAATTGTAGTAGCTTACTACCTTTCTTTAAAGTAGGACAGCACGAAGTTGCCCTGCCTAAAATAGGAAAGCTCACTTTACCCCATAAATTCTAAAGGTCAGAGTACATGGACTGGACAAACACAAATGTCGGTTCTTTTTTCTGAACATTCCAAAGACAACTACAAACATTACAATGTTCTTACTTGTCTGTGTATCTGGGCTTTAAGGGTCTATATATAGCCTGCATTTTGGTTCTTTGCTCTCATAACTGTATACATTTCATAGTAGCTCATAGAAGTTGCAAAATAATTCATAGTAGTTACTAAATAATATGTCTTAACTCATTAATGTCTATATCTGAAATTTAAAATTCCCTAAATCATTGTCTAAAAAGCGAGTTTTTGAATTACTTAATGTATCATGTTTAACCTAATCTGATCAGATTACTGATTTTGTAACAAAACAATAGAAAATCCAAGTTCAGCTGGAAAGAAAAGGCAGAATTTACACAAAATTAAAAATACTGGCTACCATTAGGTGTTTATCTAAGGTATAACTACACAAGTTTCATCGATGTAGACCAATCAGAACACGTTCTGCGGTAGCTTTCCTCTACTGCATTCAGCTGTTGGACATGAATGGTAAAAGTTAACTGAACAATGAAAAGGGGTTAATTAATCAGGTCAATTTTAATGTCCAGAACATCATACATGCGTCTGTCTGGCCACAGAGGTTTGGTAAGGAGTGGTCGGTGAGCTGAGCGTGTGACTTCTTTCTCTTTCTGACATCCGGCTGAAGCCTCTGCTTGATGGCAGATACCTCCTAAACATCCCTCCTCCAAAGATCTGGATGAGTGGGTTAAGGCAGCAGTGGCAGTAGGCCATGATGTGTGTGATGTAATAAGCATAGACCAGTCCTTTTTCCCATGCGAATGAATGCATTGACTCTATCCCCAGTAGCTTTAGCGAATGCAGGAAGATGGTGACATTATAGGGTGTCCAGCAGATGAAAAATCCTACAATGGTGCACAAAATCAGCCACACCGTGTGCTGTCTGTTCCTGATCTGACAACGCTTGATGGTGGCCAATATCTGGACATAGCAGAATGTGATGACCAGGAATGGCAGCAGGAAGAAGACCGAAATCTGGATGTAGTGGGTAGTCAGCTCCACCACCTCTGACTGATGGCCCAGGATGCATGACATGCCATCCGATTTGTTTACGATCACTGAGAAAAAGGCTTCTGGGAGGCTGCAGCTGGCTGAGAGAACCCAGACCACAGCGCATGTTAAATGGGTGTAGAGCCTTCCACGGCGGGCGTCCAGTGACGAAGAGCGCAACGCGTGCACCACCACCATGTAGCGATGCACTGTCATGCAGGTGAGGAACATCATGTAGCTGTAGAAACCCAAGAAGATGGCTCCACTGAACAGCTTGCAGGCCAGCTCTCCAAGGAGCCAGCCCCAGATGTGGAAGACCGCCCAAGGCACCAGTGTGAAGGTGAAGACCAGGTCCGAGATGGTGAGGTTCAGGAGCAGCAGGTTAGCGGAATTAGCCAGGCCCTTGTGCTTTACCAGCACCCAGAGCAAGAAGATGTTTGATGTGAGACTGATGAGAATGATCAAGCTGTAGAACGTGGCAGTGAGCGAGCCAGCAACCTGCATCCCCTGCTCTTCCACTGGCTTAATGAGAAATAAATCCGAGTAATTGTAGTTATTGTACGAGTCATAGTAATCAGTGAATTCTTCTGACCAACTGTGGTGAACATCCATGCTTCTGTTATCACCCATAACCTCAGTATTGAGACTTTTTACCTATGCACAGAAAGGAAAGTGCTTTACATTTGTTCATAACCAGCTTACACACCTTACCAAAGTCAACATTTATTCATCAGTAGACGTTTTTTAGTGTTGTTTGGGTCATTCTACAGAAACGTCCACTTTTTTTATTTATCCATAGGAGTCACTGGTGTTACTGATCGTCATTGGTGTTGCACATAAGAAAGGTAACACCAGAGACAGTAACACCAGTGACATTTTTTACGAAAAATGCATTTTATAAAATGGCTGCTACAGAGCATCAAATCACATGTTCCATCAATTATGGAATATCCACTAAAATATTTAATTTAACCCATTTGTATTCTATTTTTCACAATTACCTAAGAATAAAGTAGGTCACACCAGTGGCTTCAACTAAAAGCTTCATATGAAATCATGAGCTAAATGAGAAAATTTCTGATAACTGAAAAGACACAGTGGACTTACCACGTGCTTTTCTTCTTAGATCTTCAGAAAACGGTAAAGGAAGTCAAGTGTTGTCATTAGTGTGATTTTTATTTCAAAATCAGAGATTTTTTGTTTTGCAGTAACACCAGTGACACGGCTCCTGGGGAGCTTTCATTATAAGTTTTATAATATTTATTTGGCATTTGTTATTTAATTCATATATTTCATAGTCATGTATAGATTATTGCAGTTGAAACTGCAGAAAAACATGTTTTTTTTTTTACCTCAAAATATGGGACTCACCCTTTACACATGACTGTGAGGATGAGCACTTGTGTGGTGCTCTGAATTCTATGTAACTGATTTAAAAACCAATATTGCTAAACTGGTATGTCAAGAAGGTGTAATTGTTAAAATAAATTATTGTTTTATTTTAAATAAAAAATTAAATTAATTGATAAATAAATAAAAATATAAATAAATTGTAACCGTAACGTTTTTCAAACGTAATATATCGGCAGACGCTAGGGACACAAAAATGGACTCTTCTGGAGAATGACTCGTTTATTGGATAACAGAGAAGCGGATAAAAGACCACAAGCTTCTAGATCTTACCTTGAATGGACTCCCCCTAAATAATTTCCTAGACTTGACTTAGCTTGTCTACAAAACTTGTGGTCAACCATGCAGGAGAGAAGTGTAATTATACGGTCTTCTCAAGTCCAACCCCCAACCCAACCCAATACGATGTTTCAAAGCTCCAAAAAAATAAAACATGGCTGCAGCCTACTATTCCACACACTTAGTTTGTTGTAGTTTGTAGGAAAAAGCTAATGAGTAGCAAACCATGCCAATCAATTCCCTTCCATATGAAATTAGTTTCAAACATCGCAAAATATCAAATTAAAATGAAGAAATGTACCAGTTTTGAGTCCCAGAAGTCGAGTTCATCATCCTTCTCTCCTAAAGCCCCATTATGTTTAGCTCTTTTGCTCTGCAGATGTCGGCACGCTCAGTTACTGAGTGTTGGATAATGTTGGAATGGCTGGGGTCAGTCTGTCTCTCCTGGTGCTGAGTCTGCCTCAATTCGGGGGAGCAGAAGAGAAGACTGGACAGAACTTTCCTGGACCTCTCCCTCATCATGTACAACAGTGGATTCACGCAGCAGTGGGCATAGGCCAAGATGCGGCAGGCAACATAAGCCTGGTTTAGTTCAGTCTTCTTCTGACATTCCTTAGGTCTGTACACAGCATTCAGTATCATGAGAATGTGGTAAGGTCCCCAGCATATCACAAAAGCCACCACGATGCACAAGACGACCAGCACCGTCCGGTATTTCCGCCTGGCTGAGGTCGACATGAGCGTGTGGAGGATTTTGCTGTAGCAAAAGACGATGATTAGCAGTGGGAGAAAGAAGAGCAAGATGAGTTGCGTGTAGTACTCTGCGTGGTCCACTTGGGAAGGGCTGGCATTACAGGTATAGGTGGACTCTATAACTTGAACATTGGAGGACAAGGCATCTATTAGACATGCTGCTATGCTGATGATCCATGCACCTGCACACGCTGCTCTTGCACAGTTGAGCCTGCGTCTACGGGTCAGCCACTGGCTGCGGACCACTATGGCAAAGAAGCGGTCAACTGTCATGGCTGTCAGTAGAATGAGGCTTCCATAAATGCCCACAAAATAGGCCCCGGTTAGGATCTTACATGCAGCATCTCCAAAGATCCATTGGTGAAGGTGTTCGACAACCCAGAAAGGAAGTGTGAGTGTAAACAACAGGTCAAAGACAGCCAAGCAGAGTATGAAAAACATGGTGACTCTCTTGAGGTCCTCAAAGCGAGCCAGGCTATAGATGAGCAGGCTGTTCCCAAGGAGGCTGAAGAAACAGATCGTGATGTAACTCGCTGCCGTGATTTCGAAGTAACTCCCCAATTCGCAGAGCTTGATTAATCCATCTCCGCCACTATAGTCGCCATAGTAGTCATATGTGTCATTGTGACTGTCACTGCCGTTATTGATGTCCATGCTAATGGGTGATTTAGAGGGGCAACATGATGATAAGAATTAGGCAATTGTCTGTGATCTAGAATGTCCCTTTTGTATTGACCTTAACATTTAAGCTCCATTATAAGATCAGAACCTGCTCTCAAATCATTACCAGCAATTTTATTTTATAACAACAGACACCTCATATCACATTAGATGCCTACCTTAATGCGTGGACTGGCCTGGATGTGAACGAGTTGCGAGTTGTCTCGAGGGAAGAATGAAGCTTTCTCGTGGAAAGTTCTCTTCCTCTTTTTTTTCTGCTCTGCTCATCTGTTTCAGAATGACTTCAGTTTTTTTCTTTACCAAGAAAAATAGGAGGTGCACTTCACGCTATAGGCAGTACACTATAGGCAATAAGTGCATGATGGACGAGATTAAGATCAAGATTAGGTGATATCATTTACAGTTTTTTACAATTTGCTTGCACACTAAATTTAGAATTAACACACAGTTAGTGAAACCTGATACTTTATGAGCAAAACCTCAGCCCAGATCTGCACAACTGTAAGCACATTATCAGAGTCACACTTTTAGCAAAACACTACACACAGTGATTTGCAGACCACTTCTCTACATTAGACACAGAAATCTAACATGATGTCACTTCTTTGCCATTTCAAGGCACTGCCTTTCAAAATGCCACACCTGTGAATCAATTGATCAAACATGGCCGTCAGGTGTACAGACACTTATGTGCTTAATTGTAAACTCACCAATCAGGCATAAGCACTATGAAAAGACAACAAGTAAGTTTTTTTTAATTCATGCTTTCTTTTTGTCTCCTTAAATGTTTTTGCTGTGTTTATGTAATGTATTCTATTTAGAAAATGTTCAGTTCTGAATTTCAGTGGAAAATGCAACCTTTGGAAATGCATGGATGTAATGACTGATGTTGCAATGTGGAGAGGAATAAAATTTTTTATCCGTGTGCAGGGTTGGGATGTAATGGAATACAAGTATTGGGAATATGTATTTAGAATACAGAAATAAAGTGTCTGCATTCAGTCCAAGTTACATTTAGTAAAGTCAGTATTTAGAATACAGTTGCTTTTTACATTTTTAGGAAAATAGGAGAATATTTTACCACTAAATAAAAAAAAAACATAAAATCTTCAAAAGAAATGCCATTGATGCTTGTTTTTAAATCAGCACACTGCATATAGCAAACATGCTCGTTAGATGAATCCTTAAGAGGTCCTCAATAAACAGTTTCTTTATTAAAAGTTATTCTGGCTAAAGCCTGAGTAGACTGACAAATCAGTGTGAAGAGTCAATTATTTATCTCAATGTTACTGAGCTCTGCTAAAGCCTGAATAGACTGATAAATCAATGTGATGCTCAGTTATTAATCTCAGTGTTACTGAGCTCTGCTAAAGCCTGAGTAGACTGACAAATCAATGTGATGATCTGTTACTAATCTGTGTTTCTGAGCTCTGCTAAAGCCTGAGTAGACTGATAAACCAATGTGATGATTAGTTATTGATTTCATTGTTACTGAGCTCTGCTAAAGCCCGAGTAGACTGATAAACCAATGTGATGATTAGTTATTGATTTCAGTGTTACTGAGCTTTGCTAAAGCCTGAGTAGACTGATAAACCAATGTGATGATCAGTTATTAATGTCAGTGTTACTGAGCTCTGCTAAAGCCTGAGTAGACTGATAAACCAATGTGATGATCAGTTATTAATGTCAGTGTTACTGAGCTCTGCTAAAGCCCGAGTAGACTGATAAACCAATGTGATGATTAGTTATTGATTTTAGTGTTACTGATCTTATTTAAGGGATTATTATCAAACTAATAATCTCCTCAGTAATGGACATGTTTGCAAGTGATAAGCTTTGCATCAGTGTTGTACTGGACTCTTGCTGGGGGGATTGTGGGAGCAGTAGATTGAAGCAGGTGGCAAAAAAAAGAAAAAAAAAGAATTTCTGATCTTCATTTAAATAATAAGTTAGAAAAAATGACCATGTATTCTAAATGTATTCAGAATATGTTTTTATATATCACAATGAATACATTTAGGACAGTGTATTAAGTACTCAGCCATTACTACTTTTTTTTTGCCCAACACTGTCTTTGTGTAGTTCTGTCTTGTGTGTTTGGTTATTCATATATTTCACTCTAAGAATATCAAACCCAGACTATATAATTAGAAAAGCAGAAATGTTAAAGGTGTTTTAGATTGAGCACAGCAGTGTGTAACTGGTTTAAACAGAATCAGATCGTATGAACTCCATGTACACCATACGGTGACAAAATTGGGTTTTTATAAATTGTTGTACAGTTTTGAATGAAGTGTTTCATGTTGCAAAAGATCTGAGGTGTTCTGCTGCTTGTGTGTGTGGCTGTGTAAATTGTGTGTAGTGTTTGGACAAAATGAGCCCTTTTTTCAAAATTGTACTTAAGCAAACGTAAAAAACTGTATTACATATGCATACAATTCTTTGAAGTGTGTAATAAGAGGATAAAGTGTTGGACAGTTTTCAGAGATTTGAATACATATTTTGAGAGATACGTGAGTATAAATAAAAGAAAATATATCATTTTTTCCTTTGTTTTCTACTGAATATGAATAAGGTATATGTGGCTCTTGAAAATGTATACTCTGAGAAAGTGAAGAACATCTCAAACTCAACACCAGACGCAGCTTCATTCCTTCATTTATTTACATCTGCTCTACATCTGACTTCACATTTGATTACATTTGTTTTGCATTCAAGTCAACCTTTGATTCTGTAAAGTGATTAATATGTGCATTGTGCAAAGCATAGTCTGCAAATTGTAAACATACAATAATTTAAGAACATTTTGAATTTATAATACAGAAGTATAGCATGGTGGTGCAGTAGGTAGCACTGTCATCTCACAGCATGAGGGGCCTGGGTTTGATTCCCTGGCCGGGGAACGAGAGTCTTTTCTCTGTGGAGTTTGCATGTTCTTCCCGTGTCTGCATTGGTTTCCTCCCACAGTCAAGAGAAATGCAGCCAGGCTAATTGGACATGCTAAATTGCCCCTGTGTGTGAATGTATATGTCTGTGTGTCTGGCCTGCGATGGACTGGTGACCAGTCCAGGATGTTTCCTGCCTTCTGCCCAGTCACTGCTGGGATAGGCTCCGGTGACTCAGAAGGATAAGTGGTGTTGAGTCTGGGTGTGTGTATGTAATACAGAAGCATATGTCAGAGACCACTCTTCATTTCAAAAAAATATAAAAGATATAGAGATAATGGAACTTCTAACAACCATTCAAGACCTGGTAGACCACCAAAACTGTCACCATCAGATAAACAGTACTGTCATCTTTGAGCGAGAATTCAACCTTTACTCTTGCTTCAGATCTGAAAAAATCTACAAGTGTGTCTGTCCATTTCAATGCTATGAGTCTGAAAGGATGTGTAGCTGTCAAGAAGTCCTTAAGACTTAAGACTAAAAGCCAAAAAAATGATCAAAGATCAAAAATGCAACCAGCATCTAAGATTGGAGGTGTGAAAAAATATTCCTGCTGATTTCTTCGGAAAACTGAAAGCAAGTCTCCTGAAAAGATTGGAAGCTGTAACATAAGCAAATAGTGGACACACTAAATACTGACAAAATAATACTGTATTTAGTTTTGTAGTTCTGTATTTTTTTGTTAAATAGTTTCCTGCTTTTACTGATGCTGAAAGATGAATAACTCATTTTTAAAGGCTGTTTTGACTAGAAATTTCAAGAAAAGAAAAAAGAAGGGTGGTGTCTGATTTTTATGCAGTACCGTATTTGATTTAAACAAAGCAGTCTTGGCAAGAATGGTGAGAACAAAAGTTCAAATTCCCACAGTGGAATTGCATACACTATTTTTTTTTTATTCTAGACATCTTCAGGGTGATTCTGAGAACTGTATAATACTATTTTAACATTTCATGTGAAGTTATGTTTATGAAGCTCATACATGCTGTACTTTATTTGATTGAGTGAAAATGTGTGGCATAATAAAATTAAGTTTATACAATGATTTTTTTTTTTGCAAGAAATTGTTTTGCTGTTTGCAAATGGGATTTATTTGACGTCATTTGAAGATAACTGGATGCTTTCTTACAGCTAGTACATGGAGATTTCTTCCCCATTTGAGTAAATGAGGTGGCTGTGGCGGTTCTGAGGTTCATTCGTGTTCCCACAGATGTTCCACAGCATCTTCTTCAAGTGGCTTCTGAACTTGATCCCCATAAAGACGTGAAAGATCGGATTGAGGCAGCAGTGAGAGAAGGCCACCAGACGGGAGGCCAAATAAACATAGTCTACAGCAGTGCTGACGTTGCATTCGTTGAATGGGGCAACTTTCCAAGAAATCAAAGAGTCCAGGAAGATGGCCACATTGTATGGTGCCCAACCGAGGAAGTAAACCACCACTATGCAGAATATGAGCCTGATAGTCTTGCGGCGGGTGTGGGCTGTGGGTCTGAGGAGACGCCCAAGAATCTGAATGTAGCAGAAAGTGATAGTGATGAAGGCGACGAGGAAAAAAATGTTTTGCTGGTAAAAGCCGAACAGCTTCCAGTTGATGTCGTTATAATCACAGTATAACTCACTCATAGAGCTATTGCCATTGACAGTAGGGTGGGACACAACCTTATTGAAGATGGCATGAGGAGTTGCAGCACAGAAGCTCAAAATCCAGACGACCGTAGAAATCAACACGCAGTGGTATATTCTCCTGTTCAAGATGACTGACAGTGGACGGACCACGGCCATGTAGCGGTGCACCGTCATTGTGATTAAAAAGATTGTGCTGCTATAAAAGCCCACAAAGAATATGAAGCTAACGGCTTTGCAGGCAGGTTCTCCGAATGTCCACTGGCCAATGAAGTGGTAGTACGCCCAAAACGGCAGGCCAACAGTGAAGACCAGGTCAGAGACAGCCAGGTTGAGGAGGAAAGCATTGGTCAAGGATCTCAGATTTTCATATTTGAGCAGGACCCACAGGACCAGTGTATTGCCCACACAGCTGAACATGACGACCACTGTGAAAAAAACTGGGGTGACAATCCCTCCAAATTTGACCACCTTAGTCTTAATGCATGCTTCATCAGTATAGTCCTCATTATAATCAGGTGTACTGTAGTAATAGTCAGGAGTCGTGAAAACATCACCTCCTGACATCTTCCTCCTAATGAAAAATAAAAATAGCAAAAAATGAATGGTACAGAATGTACACAATGAATAATCAATATTCAGGTAAAGGGAGGGCAAAAATAAAAAAGTAAATATAAAGTATTGCAAAACAAACTTAAAATACACTAAAGTTGCCATTCGTTTCAAAGTGGTTACCACAAATCAAGCTTTCCACTGTGCACACATATTGATTGCACCATGGAAAGGAAACCAGGATGCAAGAACTGATTACAACATTTTGATGTTTTGTCTTCTGGATGGATTAAATAAAGTGCATACCTTAAACAAGAGTTCCAGACTGTTCTCAAAAACAAGTTGGTTGATTTAAGGTGATTTGAAGCCTGATACGGCACCTATTCCCTTATGAAACCCTCTCAAAAAGGCACTGTTCCCATTATGTTTTAAAAAAATCAGAACATCCCACTTGTAGACCAATCAGGACATTGAAAGATCTCATGTAAATATAAAGGGTAAAAAAATAAGTTGTCTGCACAAGCTAAAAGAGACCTAAATACAAATACAATGTAAATATAATGGGCTTCCTGGACGTCACAGCATTCAAATGGAGATTCTCCATTAAAAGAAAAAGTGTAGTCCAAGACTAGGCTTAATCCCTGTCTGGGAAAACAACCTCAAATGTGTAAATTGGAAATAGACTAGATTTATCTTTCCTTCTCATTTTCTACTGAACTTGGAAGATCAGCTCTGTGGGGAGGTGAAGATTTTGGAAATCTTATCTCAAACTCAATAACTGTTTTTTATCCTTGCTTGCATGTGAAGTGTATTTAGAAAAGTAGTTTTATAGAGGAAGGTAAAAACACTCTTAACGTTGAGTATAAGCTGATGTCTGAAGTTCCAAGTATCTAGGAGTGCCCTGTGTGCTCTGTTTGTGCAGGGGATAGGAATGTGAACGAGGGGGGCCTCTGGGTCCATAGCCCCTTAATTTAAAGGTCCAGAGGAAGGGGGCCTCTTACTTTCTCCCTACTTCTTCTCTTAGGTCCAAATAGATGAGGTCATGTTAAAAAGAACCATATGTTCTGTCTCCTGTTTCAACAACAAGAACCATATATATATGCTGTTGGTCAGTCTGTTCGGGGGAGGACATTTAGAATTGGCACGGATCCTCTCTCAGGTGCTCTACAGTGCTTGATATGATGCTGTTTTACTATGTAATAAATCTTTTGCTAGCAACTCAGTGTCGGCGGAGTTTTTCTTCACAACATCTAAACACCATCGCCACGAAATAAACAACACATGTTTGTTTAGTCTCATAGTTTCTGTGCTCTCTCATTTCAGATCAGTTTGAAACTATGACTATTGGTTTTCAGTGACCCAGTGGTTTATTAGTAGAGTTACATGAGGTGATCATCTCACCTAATGGAATATTTATGCATTGTTTTTGTTTATGGAATAACAACCACCAGACCTTAATGTAGATCAGTAAAATTGAATAGACTGCTTTGCTCATGTTCACACTGCTCACATTTGAGCTTCAGCATTCAATTTTACACCAAAAGGATCCAAAATGAAATATCCTCTGTGCTGACTGATAGGCATATGATGATATTTATTGTTATCTAAATAAATAATGTCACAATATACTTCTCTGATCATCTCATGGTACTGTTCACACATTCACCAAGGCTCTAGTCTAGGGTAATGAGGAAGAAACATAAAAAATATGGACCAGCACATCAATTTAATGCTCAAGTGAATAGTTTGAATTATTAGTTAAGGCAATCAGTCCCAGAACACCTGTTACACCATTAGAATCCTTTGCACTGTGATATCAACCCATCAAGAAAACACGGAACATCATTAGTGGCGCAGAAACCCACAGAAGCTTTTAATGGTTACTACATAGTTTGGTTTTAGTGCGGCATATTGCGCTTCCTTTTTTATTGTTACTGGCTGTGTAGCCCTTATCTTGCTAAATAGCCAGCTAGCTGAGCAAAGTAACGAACTTCAGACGCTATCAGTGACACCACAAAGGTGAAATGGTGTGGCAGGTTCACAAGGTCACATTAAAAGAGTACTGAAATAGAGAGTAGAGGTTGTCGTTGAGGATGTTTGAAGATTGTACTGTTAACGTGAAAGATTACCCTGCTGGGAAATACCAGCACAGACTAGCATGGCTGATCACCAGCAAAACCAGAATATGTTGTGTTTTGGATGTTGGTATGTTGGTTGTTTGGCAGTGTGCTGGTCACTAGCAAAACCAGCATATATTGTGTTTTGGATGTTGGTATGCTGTTTACCTCTACTATTCTGGGAACAGTGAGAAGTTATAGCAGATGTTTTTAAACATTTAGAATATTGACCTCATATTAAAATCATTTTATCCATGTATCTACAACAAACCTAAGGACAAATATACTTGAGTAGATGTAAAAGTTTTGTTATTTGAAAGTAAAAGAAGTTCTTTTTTGCCACTTCTTGTGTCTGTGACGTTTTCTTTTTGCCCCACGGCCCTTACCCCTGCCCGATGATTCTTGTGTGTGTCCTTCAGATGGTATGAAGACAGTGTAAACTCATAAACCACCTTCACCCACGGGCTTCACAATGGCATCACTAAAATCACTATTCACCAGTGATGCTCATTATGAATCTTTTGAACTGTTTAAGCAAAATGAAGCAATTGCAGTCTGTTCCACGAATCAATTCCAGTTTGCTTCAAAGTTCCAAAATCCGGGTGTCGCACGTGACCTGACACAGGCTACTGTTAGCAGGAATGTTAATATTTGGTATGTACTGGCAGCTCGGACGAAAGCAAAACATGTTGAATATGTTGAAACTGAAAGCAGGTCTCCTGAGAAGAATAGAAGCTGTAACATAAGCAAAGAGTTGACAAACTAAATACTGATTTTTCATTATACTGTATTTAGTTTTGTAGTTTTATATTTTCTGTTGAATAGTTTCCTGCTTTTTTGCCTGATGCTGAAAAATATATAACAACTTGCACTTAATGGCTGTTTTGGCTAGAAATTAAAAAGATGGGTGGTCTCTGATTTGTACACAGTACTGTATTTAAGATAAGATAAGATAAGATAAGATAATCCTCTATTAGTCCCACAACGGGGAAATTCACAGTGTTACAGCAGCAAAGGGATAGCAAGGCAATCAAGAAAAGAAGTAACAAGAAGAGAATTAACAACCTTGTTAATTACTTAACAATTTGCTACAAACAAAAGAGTCTTCAAAATAATATCAAAAACAAAGGTTACAATTCCCACAAATTTTTAATGCTGTCAAAAAACAGTGGCATTGCATACATTTTTTATTCTAGACATCTTCAGGGTCATTCTGAGAATGGTATAATGCTATTTTATGTTTCATGTGAAGTTATATTTATGAAGTTCATACATGCTGTACTTTATTTGACTGAATGAAAATGTGTGGCCATGTGTGGATCACTGGACGCTTTCTTACAGCTAGTACATAGAGATTTCGTCCCCATTTGAGTAAATGAGGCTGCTGTGGCGGTTCTGAGGTTCCTCCGTGTTCCCGCAGATGTTCCACAGCATCTTCAAGTGGTTTCAGAACTTCATCGCTATAAAGATGTGAAAGAATGGATTGAGGCAGCAGTGAGAAAAGGCCACCAGACGGGAGACATAGTAAACATAGTCTATGACGGTGCTGACGTCGCAATCGTTGAATGGAGCAACTTCCCAAGGAATCAAAGAGTTCAGGAAGATGGCCACATTGTATGGTGCCCAACCGAGGAAGTAAACCACCACTATGCAGAAGATGAGTCTGATGGTCTTGTGGCGGGTGTGGGCTGTGGGTCTGAGGAGATGCCTAAGAATCTGAATGTAGCAGAAAGTGATAGTGATGAAGGCGATGAGGAAAAAAATGTTTTGCTGGTAAAAGCCAACCAGCATCCAGTTGAAGTTTTCATAATCACAGTATAACTCACTCATAGAGCTATTGCCATTGACAGTAGGGTGGGACACAACCTTATTGAAGATGGCATGAGGAGTTGCAGCACAGAAGCTCAAAATCCAGATGACTGCAGAAATCAACACACAGTGGTATGTTCTCCTGTTCAAGATGACTGACAGCGGACGGACCACGGCCATGTAGCGGTGCACCGTCATTGTGATTAAAAAGATTGTGCTGCTATAAAAGCCCACAAAGAATATGAAGTTAATGGCTTTGCAGGCAGGTTCTCCAAATGTCCACCGGCCAGTGACGTGGTAGTAGGCCCAAAACGGCAGGCCAACAGTGAAGACCAGGTCAGAGACAGCCAGGTTGAGGAGGAAAGCATTGGTCAAGGATCTCAGATTTTCATATTTGAGCAGGACCCACAGGACCAGTGCATTGCCCACACAGCTGAACATGATGATCAATGTGAAAAAAACTAGGGTGACAATCGCTCCAAATTGGACAACCTTAGTCTTAGGGCATGCATCTTCATATTCATAATAGTCTTCATAAAAAGGTGTACTTGTACTGAAGTAATAGTCAGGAGCTGTGAAAACATCACTTTCTGACATCTTCCTCCTAATGAAAAATAAAAATAGCAAAAATGAGTGGTACAGAATGTACACAATGAATAATCAATATTCAAGTAAAGGAATGGCAAAAATAAAAAAAGTAAATATAAAGTAGCGCAAAACAAACTTAAAAATACACTAAAGCTGCCATAAGTTTCAAAGTGGTTACCACAAATCAAGCTTTCCACTGTGCACACATATTTAAGCACCATGGAAAGGAAACCAGGATGCAACTAATTACAACATTTTGATGTTTTGTCTTCTGGATGGATTAAATAAAGTGCATACCTTAAACAAGAGTTCCAGAATGTTCCTTAAAACAGGCTGGTTAATTTAAGGTGATTTGAAGCCTGATACGGCACCTATTTCCTTGTTAAACCCTCTCAAGAAGGCACTTCCTACTATGGTATATAAAAACGAGACCATCCAACCTCATAGGCCAGTCAGGTGGGTGTTGAAAAGTCATGTTGTCTGCACAAGCTAAAAGATGATCATGCACGTTTCTGGACAGTCTCAATCTGGTTCGACAGATACTGTGTCAGTTTTCCATGCCATGCTGGGCAGACGTACTCTAAAATGGGGTGAATGTAACCAGTGTATATCAAAGTTAGGTCAGAGATTGCCACTCCGGTTCTTCTTAGTCTTCTCAAGAAATGAAGTCTGGTATTTTCTTTACAATAGCATGTGTGTGATGGTCCCATTGTAAATCTGACTGAATCAAAACTCCAAGTACCTTGATAATTTTGCAAGATGGTAGCTGTTTTCTGGACAGGTAAAGGGGTGTAGGGGGAGGTGGGTTCTTCTTAAAAGTCACTGTCATGATGTTGCATTTGGTTGGATTCAACATCACTTGGCTACTACGAACCCACCTGTCTAGATTATCCAGGGCCTCTGAGGAGAGGTTACATTGGGACCTCTCATTTTCTACTGAACATGGAAGATCAGGTCTGTGGGGAGGTGAAGATCTTGGAAATCGTATCTCAAACTCAATAACTGTTTTTTTAACCTTGCTTGCATGTTTGTTTAGTCTCATAGTTTCTGTGCTCTCTCATTTCAGACCAGTTTGAAACTACGACTCTTGGTTTTCAGTGACCCAGTGGTTTATTAGTAGAGTTACATGAAGAGGGGCTTTGAGGTTGTCTTCTCACCCAATGGAATATTTTTGCAGTATTTTTGTTTGTTTTGTTGAATAGCAACCATTAGACCTTAATGTAGATCAGTAAAATTGATCTACTGCACTTTTTTGGGCTTTTGGGTTTTAGTATGCAATTTTACCAAAAAAACAAAAGAGAGAGACTCTTTGTGCTGATAGGTATATGATGATATTTATCATTCTCTGAATAAATAAGACAGCTCAGATGATAGCAAAAATACGCTGAATATATTAAAACTGAAAGCAAGTCTGCCAAAATAAAACAGAAGCTGTAACCTAAGCAAAGAGTGGACACACAAAATACTGAAAAAATTATACTGTATTAGGTTTGTAGTTTTGTATTTTCTGTTAAACAGTTTCATGCTTTTTTTCCTGATGCTGAAAAATATATAACAACTTGCACCTATTGGCTGTTTTGACTAGAAATTAAAAAGAAAAGAAAAGAATGGAGGTTTCTGATTTTTACACAGGACTACATTTGCTCTAAACCCTGGATGTCCAGTCTCATCTGCAAAGGGTCGATGTGCCTGCAGGTTTTTACTCCAACAAAGCAGGAGGTCACCTGATGAAATGTTTGAAGAATAAGATTGGCTGATTAAACAAGTAGAATCTGGTGTGCTTTAGCTTGTTTGGAGTGAAAACCTGCAGCCATACTGGCCCTTTGTGGATAAGATTGGACACCCCTGCAGTCTTGGCAAGAATGGCAAGAACAAAAGTTAAAATTCACACACATTTTTAATGCTCTCACAAAACAGTGGCATTGCGTACATTTTTTTTTATTCTAGACATTTTCATGGTCATTCTGAGAGCTGTATAATGCTATTTTATATTTCGTGTGAAGTTCATAAATGCTTTACTTCATTTGATTGAATGAGAATGTGTGGCATAATAAAATTATGTTCATATAATGATTTTTTTTCTTCCAAGAAATTGGTTTGCTGTTTACAAATGCAACTTATTTAAGGTCACTGGATGCTTTCTTACAGCTAATGCGTGGAGATTTCTTCTCCCATTTGAGTAAATGAGGCTGCGTTTGGCGGTTCTGAGGTTCATTCGTGTTCCCGCAGATGTTCCATAGCATCTTCAAGTGGTTTCTGAACTTCATCCCCATAAAGACATGAAAGATCGGATTGAGGCAGCAGTGAGAGAAGGCCACCAGACGGGAGACATAGTAAACGTAGTCTATGACGGTGCTGACGTCGCAATCGTTGAATGGGGCAACTTTCCAAGAAATCAAAGAGTCCAGGAAGATGGCCACATTGTATGGTGCCCAACCGAGGAAGTAAACCACCACTATGCAGAAGATTAGCCTGATGGTCTTGTGGCGGGTGTGGGCTGTGGGTCTGAGGAGACGCCCAAGAATTTGAATATAGCAGAAAGTGATAGTGATGAAGGCGACGAGGAAAAAAAAGTTTTGCTGGTAAAAGCCAACCAGCTTCCAGTTGATGTCGTTTCATAATCACAGTGTAACTCGCTCATAGAGCTATTGCCATAGGCGGGAAGGTGGGACACAACTTTGTTGAAGATGGCATGAGGAGCTGCAGCACAGATACTCAAAATCCAGATGACTGAAATCAACACACAGTAGTATGTTCTCCTGTTCGAGACGACTGAAAGTGGACGGACCACGGCCATGTAGCGGTGCACCGTCATCGTGGTTAAAAAGATTGTGCTGCTATAAAAGCCCACAAAGAATGTGAAGCTAATGGCTTTGCAGGCAGGTTCTCCGAATGTCCACCGGCCAGTGACGTGGTAGTAGGCCCAAAACGGCAGGCCAACAGTGAAGACCAGGTCAGAGACAGCCAGGTTGAGGAGGAAAGCATTGGTCAAGGATCTCAGATTTTCATATTTGAGCAGGACCCACAGGACCAGTGCATTGCCCACACAGCTGAACATGATGACCACTGTAAAAAAAACGGGGTGACAATCCCTCCAAATTGGACCACCTCAGCCTTTTTGCATGCATCTGCATCTTCATAATAGTCATCATTATAATCAGGTGTACTGTAGTAATAGTCAGGAGCTGTGAAAACATCATTTTGTAACATCTTCTTCCTAAAGAAAAATAAAAATAGCAAAAAATGTAAGTATTACAAAACAAACTTAAAATACACTAAAGCTGCCATAAGTTTCAAAGTGGTTACCACAAATCAAGCTTTCTACTGTGCACACATATTGATTGCACCATGGAAAGGAAACCAGGATGCAAGAACTGATTACAACATTTTGATGTTTTGTCTTCTGGATGGATTAAATAAAGTGCATACCTTAAACAAGAGTTCCAGACTGTTCTTAAAACCAGGTTGGTTGATTTAAGGTGTTTTGAAGACCGATACTGCACCTATTCCCTTGTCAAACCCTCTCAAGAAGGCACTTCCTATTACGGTATGTAAAAAATCAGAACATCCCGCCTCGTAGACCAGTCAGGTGAGCATTGAAAAGTCACGTTGTCTGCACAAGGTAAAAGAGACCTAAATACAAATACAATGTAATAAATATAAAGGGTTTCCTGGACAGGGAGCAAACCCAGTCTTGGATGTCACAGCATTCAAATGGAGATTCTCCATTAAAAGAAAAAGTAGTCCAAGACTAGGCTTAATCTCTGTCTGGGAAAACAACATCAAATGTGTGAAATTTAAAATAGACTAGATTTATTTTTCCTTCTCATTTTCTACTGAATATGGACGATCAGCTCTGTGGGGAGGTGAAGATTTTGGAAGTCTTATCTCAAACTCAATAACTGTTTTTTTTCCTCTTGCTGACATGTTTGTTTGTTCTCATAGTTTCTGTGTTCTCTCATTTAAGGCCAGTTTGAAACTAGAACTGTTGGTTTTCAGTGACCCAGTGGTTTATTAGTAGAGTTAAATGAATAGTGGCTTTGTTTATTCAGTGTCTGTTTTAAGAAAGGAAACTATTTGGAAGCAGCATGTCCTAAACACAATTTCAGATATTAATTACCGGATATATGACATCAGAGTATATACCAGATGTACTGTCGATACTCTCATTTTCATTGTCTCATACTCTCTGATTGAGGTGTTTCCCATGAAAATTTGAATAGGGCAACACTGAACCCTGAAGGTACCGGACCTTTGGAATATAGGTCAGTTTCCAAAATTCCAAACTGGGAACAGAGGGCCCGGGCAACACAGGGCCTTGGAAAATCAGGGCTGTTTTCTAGAAATTTCAATGAGAAAACAAAGGGCCTGGGGAACATAGAACCCAGAGAACACAGGGATGAGCCTGTTAGATGTATTATAAAGTTCCACTGCAGGTCTAATAAGAACTTCAGGAGTTTTTTTGGACCTAACACGTTTTGACTCAAGTTGTTTTAATAGCTCCTTGTACTTCCACTTGACTCTAATATTTCACTGACGTAGCAGCAGGTTTCTTGAGGATCTGACTGCATTTAGCCATCCTTGAGCATCTCCAAAACACAGGCATGTTGCCCGAGTTCGCCTCATCAGTCACATGATCTTATTTACCTCGTTAATACTGTGCAACCAAACCTTCCCTGTTCCCGAGCCTGTGTCGCTCATTGGCGCTTCCTGATTGGCCCAGACGACTGTCGCTCAGCGGCTGGTACCGCCCCCTTAACGCCAGCACGCCTGTGGCTTAATCGATTTGGAGGATCATCTTTCCTGTGGGAAGTACAGTATGTGTATACACTTGTTTTTTCTGTCATTCTTCCGTGTAGCTTATCGATTAATTCCTCGTGTCTTAAAAGGGCCGTATCGTACGGTGGCAGTGAACGTTTTGTGATCATTTTTCCCCCCTGAAAGTGAGGAGTTAGCAGCAGGTGCACTTTCCTGTTATGATGTATCCACCGTTTCTCTGCTGCCACCGGGGGACAGTTCAACTATAGTTATTAACTATAATAATGGCTTTAAGCTTGCCGTGGCATTAACTGTAGGACGTCGTCGTTCTAGACTTGTTTGTCAAAACAGACATGGATTCAAATGCGGCTAAAGTGCTTTGAGAGTTGACAGTTTTCTTGCCTACTGTGGTTCTCACACCCGGCGACACTGGCTCTCTACGTTCTAGCTCGGTCATTGGCTAGACGGTGACGTAGGCACGGCCAATGCAAACTTTGCTTTGCGTGATGCTTTTAGCATTTTTTCCTGGTTTGTCTCAAAGTTTTAATGAGTTTATGATTAGACTGAGTGTAACACTTTCTTTTCAGACTTATTCAGTAACTTATTCAGAAAAGCTTGAAAATTGTGAGCATCTTTATAATGGACCTCATTTATTTACTACTGAGTGGTTTATGAGCAGAGTTAAATGAAGAGCATGGCTCTAAGGTGATCAGCTCATGTAACTGGATCTCTGTGCAGTATTTTAGTTGTTTTGGAAGAGCAGCCAAAGTTCATTCACTAGGCCTACAAGTCTTGATGTAGATCAGTAATACTGATACACTAGTCTGCTTTGCTGATGCTCACACTGCTCAAGTTTGAGCTTAAGCATTTGATTTTATTCCAAAAAAATCGAAAAACCAAATAAATAAATAAAGGAAGTATCCAAGAAGATGCACTGCAGTTCAAACGGAAACTCACTTATTTTTTTTGATCTGTTACTGCTCAAGTTGTTTTTCATAGCTCCTTTCACTTTTGTTTTACTCAGTATTTCGCTGAAGTAACAATATCTTTCTAGAGCTGTGTTTTTATTTCATTTATCTGTTATTGAGAGTTTGAATGAGAAGCCTGTATCCATCTTCCAGTAAAAGTAATGTTACCGCCATTGATATAATGACTAGCCACTGAATTTGACTAAAGAAAATATCACGTGAAAGAGCTCCTTGGTGAGTTCCCTGTAGAACTGCAGTGGAACTTTTTAGTGCATGCAGCATCAGAACTGAAGTTAAGTCTGTAAAAGCTCTACTCTTCCTCTTTTTAGTGTGTGAAATGCTGAAGCACCAAAGTGAGCAACAGTGAAGCACTTTGAGTGCTGAATCAAACATTTGGAATCATCACTTGTCATGTAATAACTGTCTTTTGGTCATAACTTATACAGTGTATGAAATATTATAAACTATGCATCAAAACATAAATGAATGGTTTATTCACAGTTTCAAATGTTTTGTATGGATGCACTGATGTAGAATTCAAATTTTATTGGAATTCAGATTGGCTGTTTTTTGCCATAGTTGCCAAAATAAAAATATACATTGGTCAGTTACTGACCTTGTGTTTGGAGCAAAAATCTTGGCTGATTCTGTTTGCTCACCACTAGTATTTTGGGTAAGTAAGTTATGTATGTAAAAAAAAAATAGCGCATGCTATTAAATGATAATCTGTTTTTCTATGTCATTTGTCATCAACATGGAATCACTTATTTGCATATTCATTTCATTGTAAGTTTGTTCTCAGTGCTGTGCAGTGTTCTCTATTATTATGGAACCTTTTACAGCTCTGTTCATCACCCAAAATGTCTTCAGCTTTCTACAAATAACTTGAAATGTTGACAATATTAACATCATGTTTAAATCATTTTCCAAACTTTAGAACAGTAGCATACAGTACATGCTAAAGTATGTAAGGACAAATATAGATGAGTAGATGTAAACATATTATTATTTAAAAGTAAAAAGAAGTTCTTATTTGCCACTTCTTGTGTCTGTGATGTCTTCTTTTCGTCCCACCCCTCCATCTCCCCGTCCCAATGACTCCTGTGTGTGTCCTACAGACAGTATGAAGACAGTGTAAACCCACAAACCACCTATATCCACTGGCTTCACAATGGCATCACTAACGGTTGGAGAGAATCAGCTTCAGAGGATAATCAGAGACTTGCATGGTATCCAAATACACAAACAAACAGTCACATATTGTTGAGTTTATTTCAGTTTGATGTAGTCTGATAAAAGATGATCTCAGCCTCCACATGATCTTTAGTATTTGTGTCATACTATGTCCACATAGTGAGATCCATATCATCTGTTTCAAAATCCGAGTTTCACATGTGACCTGACACAACACAGGCTAATGTTATCAGGAATGTTTATATTCAGTGTGTATTGACAGCTCAGATGAGCAAAATCCGTCCACAGTTTCACTTATTGACATTACTTATGTCTGTCAAGGAATAGAAACATTCATAAGTTAATATAAAGTAATATAATCTGTAAGGTTTAGCCAGTTTATTTAAAGGGGACTTTCTGCATAATTCAGAGGTTGAGATGTAAACAAAGTCATTCAGAGTGGTTTGATGTAAAATAGTCAATTGTAGAGGAACGTAATGACTCAGATTTCTTTACGGTGGTGGTGATAGGAACTTCTGAGGAACTTCTTTATGTGTAATGCTCATAATGATGAAATAGTGGTAAATCTGAAAAAAATAGATTTTCTTTGGGGACTATTTTGCCTTACAATGTCCTGTATGTACCTCTCCACCATGAATGACCTTTAAAAGAAATATGTTTTAGGCCAAAAGCTTATCTCAAAACTATTGTAAAACAGTGTCCTAGGCATCAGGTAGCATATGTACAACCATTTAATCTAATAACTTTTACATTAAATTGTTATAAATATGCTAGAAGAGTGCATAGCCTATGGGAGTTGTTTTCAACCACCTATTTTAATATTTTAAGTACACATTAAGTGCACGCATTGTGACACATAGACCACTGTAGTATGGTTGAGGAAACATCTTGATTAAGATACTCTTATGCTTTGAGAAATCTAGGCCTCATATAGTGACGTGTGCATCACCTTGTGCACTGAAACCCCTGTATGCCCTTGTTCAGATGCAGTTGCTGAGTTGAGTAAGGAGCATACAGACAGTGGGGAACCGATCACAGACGACAGCTCAAGTCTCCACAAATTCTCCTCTAAACTCGAATACTTATTGCAGGTATGGCTGACTACTTCCATTGACAAGGGGAGCACAAAAATTTTCCAACTGAAGAGAGTCATAAGTACCTACCCCAAAAAGTATTTTAACATACTTCAAAATGTATTACTTACATTAATAGGAAACCAAGTAGCATTTATTTTAAACCGACCATTTAAGACTGTTGTTTTATTGTTGATGAAGCGTTCTTTCAAAAGGTGGCTAGTGTGTTTTGGGCTCTTATCATCTGAACAGTTTCTTTTCCTTGTTTATGTCCACTTCTTAATTTATGATCCCGTTAATTAACACAAGCTGGCTGACACCATCGTGAAAAAAACAGATGAACGGCATTCTGCCCAAAATGCCGTGATATCTTATGGTAGGACATTTTTTCTACTGCAGATCCTCACGGATTGAGTTGAAAAATGTTCCATTTTAGTGGAAAAGCTCAGCTTATTATGTGTCAATTTTCACCAGGTAACCAGTCAGAACAGAAGACAAGTAAGACTTAACTGGAGAGTAAACACAGGGCTGTGCAGTAGGACAGTTTTGCCTGCATTTACAATAAAAAAATTAATCAGCACAAAGATAAATATTAATTCACTGGCATATTTACTATGATCTACATTGTTATTAGCAAAGCTTGCTAAAAAAAAAACTTGAGAAATGAATGATGAGTACCCCTTACCACTGTAGTTTGGTGAGTAGTTTACTTTAATGTAGAAATACGCTGTGTCTCTTTGCTAGTTGTGATGTTCAAGGCACTTTCTTATGTTTGCTAATGTTTACTTGGGCTGATTAAGAAGAATTAAACTTGGTGATGGTAATTTCTTCAGTCTGTTCTTTTAGTGTGATGTTCCCACCCCTGACAAAACTGGCCACAGGTGGATTCATCACAGTTCAGACGCTGATATTTTAAAGAATACGCTCTGCCGTCTGAATGCAGCATTTGCGCAGTCTGGAATTCTTCTCCAGGTTTTCTCCACACAAAGAGTCACCATCAGTTTGATGTTGTGCTATAATTGTTTTCTTCTAGAAGATATTTTATTAAACATTTTTGGAAGTAACCTAAGTAACTTCATGAAAGTTTAACATTAACCTTGGTTAAATGGATAAAATGTCCACATACATTTTGGAACCACCATGCATGTATTATACTGTGATTTGTATTGTTAAATTGCAAAAATTTGAAATAATCAGTAGGAGTGTGCTGATACGGAGTGGTGAGCTGATGCTGCTATGCGATGAACAAAATGCAGATACTTTAGCACAGTAACCCAACGTCGCCTAAATGTTCTGTTCTTCTGGAATACAATAAATGCGTCATCAAACATATCTAATCAATTTTTAAGCAGTTATCTACCAATATGATTCTAATATCATCCTCTAATATCATCCTGCTAGTAATATCATCTAGTTATGGGTATCGATATTGGCTGCAACAAGGTGTTATTAGTTCTCATTACCAACCCAGAAGTTCAATCTGTTTCTCTTCCAATTGAAATAATTTGACATGGCAAGACAGTCATCTTATTAACTATTACTTCTCCAGTTTGACCAGAAAGAGAAGACAACATTTCTGGGCAGCAGGAAAGACTACTGGGACTATTTCTGCGACTGCCTGGCCAAGATAAAGGGGGCTAATGACGGGATCCGCTTTGTCAAGTCTATCCCTGAGGTAATCCACAGCATGTGCACAAGACGACACATATACACACACATACACATGCGGAGGTGATTGTGGTCGGTCTTGACTGCACATCTGACTGCCTTGAAGCCTTCGTATTTTTTTCTTTTTTCAGATTGAGTTTCATTTCTTTTTGTTTGTTTTTGCTTTTGCTTCCTGATTTGCAAGTGTCTCACTTTTCTCTGCTCTCCTCCTTGGAACACGAAGCAGGAAGTCACAGAGAAAAACTGCCTGAGGTTGGTCACATGCTGTAGTGTTAGAGCACTGAAGAAAAAAAAAAAAGAATTTAGAGAACATTTGATAGTTCATAGTTGCATTGTGTAGTGATCAAGGCAAGTTGTGGTGTTGGCCCTTAAATGCTTCACATATTCCAGATAGTGAGGAGGGACATAGAGTGTGCAATGTTAAGATCTATTGTAATAGACATGGATGCACAATAATATCAGAATAATATCGATATTGGCAGATAATTGCTTAAAAATCATAAGTTCCGGATAGTTGTTCTGATTTTATGGACATTTCAAACCAGTATTTGTTGATGTATTTATTGTACTTTAGAAGAACAGAATGTTTAGGTGATGTATATATTTCTCTGTATTTCTCTTTTTAAAAAATGTTTATGTGTCGACAGAAGCTGGTATGTACGTGAAAATGTTTGGCATCACCATCAGCCCACAATTCTCATGTTGGAGAATCCCTAATAATACATTATAATAATATTAATCAAAGTATGCTGCCATTTTTTGCTATTTTCACATGTACAATTTTTAACTAAAGCTTTGTCTGTTGTGTTTATTGTATATATTACAATATTAGTTTTGCAAGCTATTTAGTGTATTTTTAAATATAATCAATAATAATTCATCCAGTTAAACTGAATTGCGGTGAAATTTGAGATGTTCAGTGGTGCACTAATAAATCATTAGGAGGTCAGAGATTTACACCCATTACAGTCATATGCAAATGTTTGTGCTCCCCTTGTCAAATTAGATGTTTTTTTTTATAATTTTCTAGGTGAAAATAAGTTTACACACCTACAGAAAACACACCTGGGCACATTTCAATGCACGTTCACTGTTTAATTGCTGAATTTAACATGTTGGAAAAAATAAAACATAAAATGTTACCTGTGCAAAAGTTATGGCAATTTTTATATTTTATTTGTCATTTTTTTGCTCAGCTCAGCAAGTAAATAGAAACTGTGTTCTCAATTTTGTAGAAAAATGCCATATTTAAATGTATTCTCTGGAGAGTAAATTCTAAACTTATTTTCACTTAGACAATTAGTAAAACCTCATTTGTTCACACTTTTGCACATTACTGTATAGACATAAAGCAAGTTTGTTGACCTGGATTTGCACTTAGCACTTTCAGTGTTGTAAATCAAGGGTAAAATTGGCGCAAGTGGCTTTGAAAAACCGGCAGACTGCAGTACTGTGGTAGTGTGCAGTATATTTCACTATTTTACTGTAGTTTCTGTGGGTAAACTCAGAGCTAGTACCAGGGAAGCTTATTTGGCAGCTCCTGGTTTGGGCATCCTTTTGTAGACTTGGCCCTGTTTAAGATCAAAACTGTCCTTATTTATTCTCACCTCTGGGTTTGAGACATGCATATGTCCACACAGCTGACTGAGAAGGATCTCAATAAGATGCCGTAGCACATGACGGAACGTCCTGACGGAGTCCCGGTACACTGTGAATGTGTTATCTGTCAGCTGTGATGTGGCAGTCCCATCTGCTGTCCGTATGTTCTTTAATTTGGCCACTTACTGTAATCCAGCCATCTGCTGTGCTACTGGGTTAGACATTCTCACAGTGGTCTGGCGGTGGGTAATCTGGTAAGTCAGGTCAGAACTTTTAACCTCTTAACCCGAGGACAGTGGTTTTTTGCCCTTTAGGTTGCTGTGCTATTGCATTGGAAGATGTGTGACATGTTTGTGATTAGTTCACTTAGTTTTTCTCCTTTTGTTGGCCTTTGTTGGTGTGAAATAAGCGTAGTGAAATTGAAATAGATGTGAAAGAGAGAGTAAATTCAGTTCAGGTTTCGACAGCTTTGCGGTGACCTTCATAGCGTTTGTTTGTGTTGCCAGTTTATTAGAAACACCTACACTGTACCTACACGCATTAACCATTTCATCAGAAACGCCTAGCATGTATGTGCACTTTGTAGATTCACAATGACAGACTGTAGTCCTAGCAAGACAAAAAAGATTTTAAAGGACTGTGGATTTAATAGATGTGCTGCGTGTCTGTGTATGTGGCATTACAGATGTCTGGGAATATAGTTATTATAATTTAATTAAATCCGGTCAGCGGTTGTCCTATGGTGGCCTCCATTGATGAATGGGGTAGAGGGCAGCGAAAAAAATTGTGCAAAGTGCGCCTACAGTCGTATGCAAAAAATTGGGCACCAGGTCAAATTACATGTTTTTTGTTAATTTTCTAAATGAAATTAATACATCCTCTGCAGAAGCACACATGCACGTTTTGATGCACAGTTACTGTTTCTTTGCTGAATTCAACATATTGGAAAAAATTAAACATAAAATGTTGCCTGTGCAATGGTTATGGAACATTTTATGTTTTATTTATTGTTAAATTCAGCAAATAAATAGAAATTATACACTAAATTTGCCAAAATAATTGCCATATTAGGTTTGTTCACTCTAGAGGATGGGCTCTTCTTGTCACTAAGAAAATCAACAAAACTTTTTTTTGTAAATTATTCACTGTCGTGTATTTGTTCTCTGTGCCACAGCTGAAGACGTCACTGGGAAAAGGACGAGCCTTCATCCGCTACTGCCTGGTGCACCAGAGACTGGCAGACACTTTTCAGCAATGTCTTATGAACCAAAAAGTCACTTGGTAAGGCAACAGAAACTACAGTGTCCACTTACACAGCACCGGATTTATTTTAATATGTTTCGTAGGAAGCAGGGATATTGTCTCTGGTAACGTATGAAGTCTGCTTGAAGTGATAAATCAGCTGGAAACAAATGATGTAAATTAGATTTTTGGCTGAACCACTGTTTTAAAGGGGCAGTCTAACCAAAGAGACAATGTAACCATCACTACATCTGTTGTGAACATGCCTACCCGTCTCCTACAGAGGTGCCACAGACGTCACTAGAGTGAGATTTTCCGGTTTAAAGACTAGCAAAATCCACTTTGGATGATCCTTGTTGGTGTTCCTTGAAGGTGGGAGGAGCGTTTGAAAAACTAGAAACACTTTGGGGCACTTTGAGGCTGTTTGAAATGTTTTTTTTTCCCCCACTAGCTGACTAATGCGGAAATAAAGATATTTGCTTAATGCATGATAGGTAATGTAGTGAGAGAACAATAATGAAAACACAAAAAGGATCCTAAAACTATGAATTCTATCAAACTGAAGAGGACGAAGCCTGCAGTTCCGGGCTACAGAAACGAAATAACATAACAAATAAAAAATAAAATCACAGTTTTAGTCCAGAATGCCCCTTTAAGTATTATAGTGTGTGTAGAAACTCTATACAGGCTTTGGAGTCGAGCCTCTTGACTCTTGAGGCTGCACCGTCATGTGTGAAGTGAACTCCTTGTACTACTAGTCTTGTGACACAGGCAGTGTAATCAACACCAAAACCGCCAGTGCCTGCAGTCTACAGGACCAAGATCTAAACTGAACTGAAAGTTCACATTAGAAAACATACGCAGTGGAATGGGGAAGTAAACAATAACTGGAAGAGTACTGGCAGGGTGTGAGTCTCCACACACTACAAAGAAAGTATTGGCAAATCAGGGAAAGACTGCATTTCAAATAAAAATACTCCACTTAGAATTGTCTGAAGTAGGAGCAGTGCTGAAGTGCTGAGTCTCCTTCCACAGTGCAGTTTTGCTGAGGATAGTTTCTTCACTAGCAAACAGCTTTGGCAGAAATGGTGTGAACTCAAGTGTCATTAGTGGAAAAACTGCTTTTGGGGCTAAACACTAATAGCTAATTGTAATCTTATGATGATTCAAAATGCTTTTTTTGTTTAAAAAAAAAAGAGTTGTATGTGTAAAACAAAACCATAATTGTAATTAGATCACTACAAGCAAAAGTAGTGTAGTAAAAAAACAGAATATACAGTCTTATGCAAATGTTTGAAAAGCGCCAGTCAAATTACATGTTTTGTTGATTTTCTAGATAAAAATAAGTTATTACATTCTTTACAGAGAACAAACGTAAATAGGACATTTTTCTGCTAATTTTGGTGTACATTTTCTATATATATTTGCTACATTTGTAATTTTTCCTCAATATGTTAAATGTAGCAAATTAACAATAATTAACAGTAAAATGGGCTCTGTAGAAGATTTTCACTTAGAAAATCAAAATTGACAAAACACAGAATTTGACAAGGGGTGCCCAAACTTTTGCATACAACTGTAAAATTCTGTTTGTAGGCCATATTAAGAGCAGTAAAACACTGAACATGAAATAGAATTTAAAAAGTCACAAATACAGAAAAATGTACACAAATCCTGAAAAACAGTTAGAGAACATCCACAGTTTTCATTTGTGAATCTACAATTTTGAGATTTTTTTTCCCCTTAATTTTGTACATTGTCACATATTGGTGTAAAATGATGGGGTGTAGTTTTGCCTTCTTTTAAATGTTGCAGTGCTGAACTGAGCTAAAAGTACAGTGTGTAAGTCAGCTGACCTTTTTTGTCAATTTCTGTTCCTTAGTTTTACTTCTTTCTGAGATTTCAAAAGAATTCTCCCTTCCTCTTGGCTAGTTATGAACAGCTTGTTAGTTTCCTTCAGAGTATTTGCAAACAGTTCAACTGCATATATTGGTTTCTTCCATGCACCTATTCTTGTTTAAATATTTGTGATCATCTTTCTTTCAATGCAGTGACTGGTACTACGCCCGCAGTCCCTTTCTTAAGTCCCACCTCAACGCTGACATCATCAACCACTTGTACGAGCTGAATGAGGTCCAGTTTGATGTGGCGTCCAGAGGATATGATCTAGACTCGGAGTGGCCCACCTTTGCCAGGTTGTGCAGGAGGTTTTCTGGCATCCACTTGCTGACAAGAAGCTACTATATAATACCTCACTACAGATGGCACAGTACCACTTTTTCTGTGGTTACTGATACTAATATTGGAGCCTTCGGTAGTGGCAGATACCGAGCCAATATACAATACTAAGCAAAAGTTAGAGAGCACCTTTCATTTGTTGTATTTTCAATCAAAATGGCCATTAGGTACAAGTTATTATTTTTTCAGGAGATGTTTCTGAGGAGATTAGATGTAATTCACTTGTTTCTAGACTCTTCTTCCAATTTCTCAGGTCAGTTTACAGTATAGGTGCCCTTTGTTGGGGTGGTGCAATTATTTGGGTGGTGGATCATTCTCAGCACTGCAGTGACTCTGACGTGGTGGTGGCGTGTTAGTGTGTGTTGCACTGATACAAGTGGATCAGACACAGCAGTGCTGCTGGAGTTTTTAAAAACCTCAGTGTCACTGCTGGACTGAGAATAGTACACCAACCAAAAATAACCAACCGACAGCGTGTTGTGGACAGTGTCATCTGCAAGGTGGACCAACCAGTTAGGAGTGGACAGCGAGTGGACACTGTGCTTAGAGAACTCCTGCAGCACTGCTGTTTCTGATCCACTTGTACCAGCAAAACACACATTAACACACCACCACCACGTCAGTGTCACTGCAATGCTGAGAGTGATCCACCACCCACATGATACCTGCTCTGTGGTGGTCCTCTAGGGGTCCTGGCCTTTGAAGAACAGGGTAAAAGGAGGCAAACAAGGTGTGCAGAGAAACAGATCAACTACAGTCTAATTGTAGAACTACAAAGTGCACCTATATAGTAAGTGGAGCTGATCAAATGGACGAAGAGTGTAGATACAAGGGGATGTACTTAATAAAGTGGCCGGTCAGTGTATATATTTTTTAACTGCAAAGCACTTTATCCTGCATCTAAAAGTAGACTGTCATGCTGAATCTACTCCAACAGAGTTTTCAGCATTTTCTGCTGTCTGACATTGGCAGTATTGATGCCTGGTATTGAATCAGTGCCATCTCTGTATCTAACTATACATAATAGAGTAAATCTTGGCACACCGTCTTTCTTACCCACCCTGTATACCTGATTTCTTCTTCAATCTTGCTGTACTATTTTTGTTATTGCAATGCATGTGATGCAACTGTGGCCTTTTTTCTAGAGACATGTTTCAGCTAAACCCTGCTACACCATTTACACTGTAATGCACACCTCTTTCCTGTGTACTTCACCTCAGTCAGACTTTCTTCCTGTTTGCTCATGACCACATCCTCTTGTGGTCATCAACAAGTATATGTACGTAACACATAATGAGTTACTGCCCTCACCAAACATTTTACAAATGAACCCTACTGATCTCAAATCAGGTCCTGTCCTTGCCCATAATATTCATGTAGATATAAAAGTCTAACATGGATTCTTGCTCAGTTGTCATACTGTAAAGGGAAAAGTGCTTTTCAAGCAGTATTTTAAATACAGGTTTATGTGTATCTTCAATGTTTGTAGGAGAACTCTTGGATCAGCAGCTTCCCACGTGTGGAGACCGCCTAGTCGCTGCTCTAGTGTGAACAGCCTGGTCAGCAGCTACTCACAGGTTTACTTTTGTTTTAATTGCTTTCCATACAAACAAACACTACTTAAAGGGGAATTCCATCACAGTTTTGGCATAAGTAAAGATGTAAACAAAGCCATTCAGAGTGATTTGATGTGAATGTACAGTGGTGGTGACAGGAACACAACACATTTTGTTTACTATCTGAAACAACCAGTAAGCTGATCATCGTAAAATAAAAGTAATTAAATAGTAGTAAAAATATGTTTTCTATAAGACTATACAACATCATCCAAATACATATTAAGCCCAAACCTCATCTCAAAACTATGATAAAGCAATGTTTCAGGCATCAGGAAGTGTATTCATAACCATTTCATAATTGTTTTCTATGAAGTAGATTTTAGAGGCATTAAACTCTTCAGACGTCTGGTTCCTATCACCACCACTGTAAACAAACCTGGTGAGTTGCTCTAGAGTGGAGCATTTCATCATTCATCAAACATTCTGAATGGCTTTGTTAGCATCTTCATGATTTAATTATGCGGAAATGTTGAGAACTCTATGGAATTGCAATCCTTGAAGGCAATGCCATGCAATCATGTCTTTTGAAAAGTTAATCATATGCAGGCTTGCATATTTTGAAAGATTTGTCACTCATCATATGATGTCCTTTTGAGGAACAAGGATACTATACCACTTTAAAGTGTTTCATACCATATATTCTTGTTACTTTCATGAGTTACTTTCAGTTCAGTCTTGAAGTTTCATGAAACTTGTGCATAAATAAGCCTGGTGTTTTTGATGTGAAATCTAGATATTGTGTGTCCAAATTCAGCCTGTAGACAGATTTCAGTTGGACCACAGTTTCTCTCTCAGAATGCATTGCAGGTTGCAGATTTTTCTTTCATTTAGTGGTGGCAGCAGTTCAGTAAACTTAAAGTCTATGAACATTTTTTTTTTTACTAGATCTCTAATTTACTGAATGACTGAATCTAGTCATGACTACAGCACAAAAAGCACAAAGTTGACAGAGAACTGGCAATTTCAGGAGAGTTGGAAGTCAGGATTATTTATCATTGAGACCACTAATAAGTGTGTGTGCCTCCTAATGTCACTGTTTGAAAAAGAAGTGTATCTCCATTTTTTTAGTTTTTATTTTTCTGCATCATTTGAACACAGCAGCTACCATTTGTAGTCTGTGAAAATTCTAGGATGAATGGACTGATAAAAATGCTCCAAAATTACTTGGAATAAAATATCTTTCCATTAACTTGCATCAAAAGTGAAGAATGTTTTTGCCTTCTCCTGTAAGGTTAAGGTTTGGAGATACATGCTTTTTTGGAGAGCAAAGATATGTCAAGAGACAGAAAGATACCAAAAGACATTGTTATAATGGACATTGCATTATTTAATATATTTTTTTTATTATTTAATATTATTTAATATTTTGAATCAAAATTTGGCAAAGAGTAATTGGCCGTCAGGTATTTTTTTGATATGGTTTATTCTGATTATTGAAACCCCCTTTGAGTGCTTTTGATGTGACGCACTGCTCTTATGAAGCATTAAAAGCTATTTGACTACTAATGGCACCACCTTGTGGGAAATGTTCGACATACTAAAAGTGAGTGAGTGAGTTACAAGCCAGGTCCGTGAGGTGCTTCAAACCTAAACTACTTGGACACCCCTGGGATACATCTGCTATTCCTTTTTGTTCACATAGGGTGGTCTTATATCCTTTTGCTTTTGAAAGAGGCTCAGGGGTTCCTTGCAGGCCCTGGGTTTGGTACCAGATCAAGGAGAAATAGAAGAACACTCTTGAAGTGCTATTTAGTGTTTTGTGCCTCAAATTCTTGTTAGTTTTACAACTAGATGCCTGGTTCAGTATTCAGCTTAATCATGACATCTGTGTCCAAATGAGCCTGATATCTTTGAATGGAAATTTGGGTAGCGTATGTGTAATCTTATATTATAATCTTATACCGACAAACTGAAATCCTATATTCTTTGTCTTCTGTAGCAGGCTCAGGAGTTCCTCCCAGGCCCAGACTTTGGCACCAGTTTGCTTGGGGATCTAGGAGAACTAGGAGAACTCTCTTGTAGTGCTGCAGATGACCTACGCATTGAACTTGACCAGTCAGAGCTACGGCAGCAGCAGCTTCTAGAGCAGGTCCGTCTACTCACTGACGAAGCTGCCGAGTTAAGACAGGAAGTCAGTCATCTCCGAGAGAAGCTACTCACAGCTGAGAGAGCCAGTCAGAAGCCACATAAGGACAGTGACCAATCATCTGACTCGTTCAAGAAGCAGGAAGCAGAGAAAGCTAACGGGCAGTGGACTGAACATCTTCAAGCTGAGACACAGGAAACATCAAGAAACCTAGAGGAAAGACTTAGCATTGCAGAGAACAAGAACATGGAGCTGCTAGCTAAGCTAGATGGGGCACTGAGTGAGAAAGGCCAGCAGGTGGCCAGCTATTGCGATTCAGCCTGGAAAATCCAGGAGCTGCTGAGCAAGCTGAAAGAGGTGGAAGTGGAGAGGTTGGAAGCCAGGCGCGAGAGTGACGATCGGGGCAGGAAGGCTGAGAGACTGGCTCAAGAGCTCAAGGCTCGAGAGGAGAAGCTGAAAGAAAGTGAGGAAAAATTTGCTAAGCTCCGGGTGTCCACTGAGGAAGAAAGAACCACTGCACTTCGACAGGCCGATGAGCTCCGTGCGGCTATTAACCGTCTCCAGGGTGCACTGTCTCTGAAAGAGCGGGAGGCAGGGAACCTGCACACCCAGATGCAGGATGTGCAGAGTTCACTGGAGGCAAGAGAACAACAGATGGAAAAGATGAAAAAGGAGTATGAGGAGCTGCACCAGCAGAGCAATGACCTAAAAGAGGCACTAAATGGTCAGGTTGTATCGCTCCAGGAGCAGCTGAAATCGAAAGAGACAGAAGTCTCAGTCAGCGGCCAGAAGGTCCAGCAGTTGGAAAACCAAAACCGAAGACTTTCCGGACTCTCTCAGAAGCTGGAAAGCCAAGGCAAGAAGCTTGATGAGTACAAAACCCAGTGCGCCAGTCTTATGGAGATCAATGCCAAATTGCTCCATACGGTCAAGAGGACTGAAGAGAGTGGCAGGGAGCTGGCCCAGAGCAGGGTGGCCCTGGAAAGAGAAGTGGCCACTCTAAAAGCCTCTGAGAAGCAGCTGAAAGATAGGCTGGATTTGGCAGGGCTTGTGGTTGAGGAGAGGGAGAGGAAACTCCTGGAGGACAACCAGCATCTGGAAGAGAGAATTCAGCAAGCCCAGATCAAGAGCGAAACTAGAGAAATGGAGGTGAAGAGATTGGAGAAGGAGGTTGAGAAGCTTCAGGTTGCTCTGAAGGACAGACGTGAAGAGTTAGATAATGGACCTAGTTCTAAAGAGGCTGACTCACACTTGAATAATGTCAAAGATGAAGAGGAACCTGAAACCAAAAAGGGAGAACGGCTGAAAGATCTCTACCTAACCCAGAGCTTTGAGACTGGACAAGCGGCCTCTAGGCTTGCTCTGGCGGAGGCCCAGCTGGACCTGAACATGAAGGAGGTCTCCAGACTTCAGGAGGAGGTGGTTGAGCTCCGCACCCAAGTCCAGGTTAGCGCTGACGAGAAGATGAAGCTCCAGGCGTTGCAGGAAGTGACTGAATCCTCCAGGGAGGACCTCCGTGCCCAGGCTGAGCAACTCAAGGCCCAAGTGGAAGAGATGAACCGTCGGCACATTGAGGAGCTCCTCCGCTGCCGCGAGAGAGAGGAGTCCCTGGCAAAGGAGCGGGACAGCGAGGCCCAGGCCAGAGCAGACCTCCAGGCTCAGGTGACCTCTATGCGAGAGGAGCTTCGCACGCTGAAGAGGCAAAACAGTGTCCTGGCTCTGGAGAACGGAGAAGCCCGGGAGGCCCTGCACAGGGCTAATACTGAAACGGCAGAGCTGGGTGTTCACGTGTGCATGCTGACTGGCCAGAACGAGGAGGCCCAGCTGCGCTGGGATGAGCTTTCGGCCAGGCTTCAGGAGCTGGAGGAGGAGACACAGAAGGAGACACAGACCCTCAGCCACTCGGTGGAGGCCCTGAGCAAAGACAACTCCCGGCTACTGGAGGAGTTGAAAGAAAAGGAGGGTCTACACAAAGCCATTCAGGAACTGCAGGAGAAGTTGGAGGAGGCACAGAAAGAGTCCAGGAACCTGAGGGAATGTGGTCAGAAAGAGATGGATGCTCTTCGGCTTCAGCTAAATGAGGAAGCCACACAGCATCAGAATCAGATGAAGGTTATTATTCCTTAATTTCTATATTCAGAACAGATTTCTGGAAAGAAAAAATGGATGAATGGATTCGGGATGTTATTATAACTTCATTCTCAATGTATTGTAGCTTTCTCATTCACTGAGGAGTACTCTGCAGCTTCCTCTGAGTACTCATTAACAGCTTCCTACTAATTACTTGAAAATTATGAAGTTGTAGAGTACTCTCATTATATTAGATTAATATTTAAAACATGTTCACTAGTGTTCAGAAGTTGAAATTGTTTTTCAGACGTTTAGAATCAATGTTTTAATAGTATAAATTAAGAAAAGTATATAAAAGGATTGTATATGCTAGCAACTTCACAACTTTTTAACTGTTAGATGTGCCCAGAATGATAAACAGAGCTGCGAATGATTCTAAAATGACTGAAAAGGCTGTATGGGCTGTATAACGTTAAGTATTAAGCTATGATGAAATTAATATGCAGAATTTATCATATTTCAAAAGATGAGATCGAACACAAGATATGTAATGTTTTACCTCATCAAACTAATTGTTTTCGTCTGTATACACTTATTCATGCTCCAAAAAGGTTGGGATAGGAGCAATTTAAGACTAGAAATGCTGTGGACTAGGAAAGACCTAGTCCTTCATGAGCAAGGATAGGTTGAGGATTTTTGGCAGTTTGCAAGAAATTGAAGAAAAGGACCATCCAGAAGTTCAAAAGCCAGGTCTGGCATGGTGTGTTGGTGTATTAGTGCCCAAGCCAGGTAACTTGCCCATCTGTGAAGCCACCATTAACACTGAAAGATAGAAAGATAAATACATATGCTGCCTTCTAGACACAGAGACATCATTGCTCATTTCAGCATGACACCGCCAAGCCAAATTCTGCATGTGTTACACCAGCATGGCTGTGTAATCAGAATGTGGTGCTAGACTGGCCTGCCTGCAGTGCAGACCTGTCTCCCACTGAAGACATGGGCCGCATTGTGAATGCAGAAGGCAACAATGACGGCCCTGGAAGAATGGCAGAAAATTTCACTTTCAAAACTGAATCAGTTGTTTTTTTTTCAGTCCCCAAATGATTATTAAGTGCTGTTAAAAGGATAGGCGATATAACGGTGGTAAGTGGTAAACACGCTCCTGTCCCAACTTTTTTGGAATACGTTTGGAACGTGTATTAAGAAAAAAGTTCATAACAGCAAAACATCAAATAATTGATTTCTGTTTTTATTCGCATTTCACAGACTTTTTTAACCTTTTTGATTTTCAGGTATTATTGTATGGAAAATAACCGCAATTATCAATATGGCGAGTGATTCCAAACTTTTAAATGGCAATGGAAGTGAATATTTTGCACATGTATGTGTTGTTAAAGATCATGGAAAGAATACCACTTTGCGTTACTGACGCTGGTCTGACGTTGGAAGCCTTGTCCCCTGTGTGCAGGTTTTGAATGAGGAGCTGCAGGGAGTGAGGGCTCAGATGGACGCTAAGCAGGAGAAGGTGTCCACCCTGGAGACCAGACTAGCAGAGCTCGAGGTACACTTCCACAGGCCTGTTGCCCAGGGCAACCACATCTGTTGTCTAATTTGGGACTAATTTGAGCACAGGGGTGGGCAGTATAGCAGCACGACAAGCACACTAGAAGTTCATGCTGCAGTATGGATAGACGCAGGACTGTAACCAGGATCTGAATTTTAGGCCCATGGTGCAGAAATGAAACCTACTTCACATAGTGCATAAACCACATGTGCTAATGTCTGAACTTCTTTAGTTTGCACCACATTATTTCCTTTTTGACCTGTAATGTTTGTTATGCGCCTATTTTATTTGTTTGGTTGCCTCCATTCCTTTATAAACAGTTTTATCTAGTTAATCATTTTACTGTTTTTACCAATTTATTTTAACCTGAAAATACATGTTAAAGGCTATATAGGCCTATTTAATCAATTAATAGTTTCACTTTGCTTTTGATCAGGTTTAATTTATCACATCATAATATACTGAATGCTTAGTTTTGATTGTTCAAGTAAAACAAGTTACCTTATTTAAGTGACAGAATTATACATTACTCTTATTGGCGCCAGTGGTGTTCCTGCTTCAACAAGGTTAAGTTGTCCATTAACACAACTGCTACATGTAGATTTCTATGCTAATTTAGCTGGCCGTGTTGACAGCAAACTAAAGAAAAAAATTCAGGGGTTGTGTTTTACAAGCTGCCTCCGTAGACACTTACATTTGTATCTAATATACTTGCGGAAACACTCACATTCATTTCATAGATTTAGACTGTAGTATTGCATACATGTGCATATTAGGTCAAAGTCCTAGCATATTGTGCAGGGATAAACATGGGTAAATCTCAAAATGCACTACTCCCTATAAAGTGCATTGCATAGGTCATAAAACTATGGCTTTTACACCCAAATGCTCTAAGTGTTGGCCAGAAAGTCGTGCAGCTAATGGCTGAATATAAATGGCTTTTTATTTAATATATGAAGCACTATGTTTTAGAAGCCATTTTTTAAATGACCTTTGTAGTGCAGTAGGAGTAAGGAGCTGTTTGAGATTCAGCCATAGTGGACAATGAGTCAATGGGCATACCAGTGCTGTTCTGAGGTCAGTGGAGAATCAGTCGTGTTTCTGGAGGTCTCGGTATGCAACCATATGCATAAGGATGGCGCTGTTTCCAAGCTGACATTCATAATTGTGGTACATGGAAAAATCTAAACCTTGTGAAACTACCAAGGTCCTGACCTTGATGTCTTCATAGCTAGTTATGGCCATGGATAGAATGTGTTCTTTATTCTCTCAGTGCGTTAGTAGAATAATAAGCATAGGCAGCATAGGCAGGGCTGTTTCTAGATGTGTGTGTATGTTTGTACACATACAAAACCTTGTATCTCCATTTTTGTAGTTTTTCAGTTTTTTTGGCATAGTTTGAATTTACATTGTGCATACTTTTTATGGTGAATGGGCCAAATTAAATGACCCAAGAAGTATTTGAGAAGATGTCTGGTTCCATTGACTTACATTAAAAGTAAAGTATGTTTTTTCCTTCTCCTGTAAATGTGTCATTTTGGAGATACAAGGTTTTGTATATATAAAATTATATACAAAATATATGAAATTGGTTGTGTTTTTTTCTGTAGTTGTTTTATGTGTTTACATTTGCATTTATTTATATATATATATATATATATATATATGTATATATATATGAATGAAACTGTATATAACTCTGTGTTTTGTTTGTTATTAAAGGCCATTAACAGCAGCTACAGTCAGATGATTGAGGAGAAAACCACTTGTGTTGCAAACTCTGACTGCGCTGCTTCTTCAGAAAGAAGAACAGCTTAACCAAATGAAAGGGGACTTGCTGAAGTGAGTCAATTTAATGATGCTTTTCGGAACAGCCAAACTGTGTCATCATGTCTGTTTGACGCCTCTGGGGCTTTGTTCACCCACTGTCTCGTCTCTGTTTGTGTCAGAGCTCAGGAAGAATTTGCACTTGCCCAGAAAGCCTGTCAGGACCTTAGTGAGAACCTGCGTAGGATTTCCTTGGAAAAACAGACATGCGACTTGAAGACGTCTGCAGAGATAGATGATCTTTACCGCACCAAAAGGAACCTGGAGGAGAGGCTTATTGAGCTTATTAGGTACCCTTGATCAGGGAATGTTTCACTGAGACAACACTTAATGAATCTCGAAAGACCATAAAAGTGATGGTTCAGCCAAAAATTTCTATTTTACAAAATTGTCCTCGTACCACAGATGTAGTTGATTAGCCAAGACATGTTTGGTGTCTGAACTTTGCTTTTTTAAAGTTTTGAATTACACAAGCCTAATGCACCTAACAAGAAATGAAATGAAAATTTCTTTGCACCTCATTAGCACTGTGCCAACTGCATGTCAAGTTGTTAGACAATCTCAAATAGACTTGTTTTCTGTTCTTTCTGACACTACACGATATGATGATATCTCTAACAATAGCCTAAAAATAGACACAGCTAAAAACAGTAGCCTGAATTTTATCTGTCCTTTTGTCCGTTTTTATAAGCCAGTCCATCGCTTTGATTTTGAAGAGCATGTGTGATAAATTTGGGCATTATGCCACTCATTGTAGAGGAGAGTAATTTATAGCTTTCTGGCGCCCCCTACAGGGACAAGGATGCACTGTGGCAGAAGTCAGACGCTCTTGAGTTTGAGCAGAAGCTGCGAGCGGAGGAGCAGACAGATAGAGATTTGCCCTACTGCCTTAGCTGCCACACGCAGTTCAGCTGGTGGCTGCGCAGACACAACTGCAAGTGAGCAACACACTCACGTGGAAGAAGTTGCACCTCAGTGACAGAGTGCTATGTTTGTGTTTTTAGTTATGTACATTGACTCAATATGAATGAAATATGTTACATCAACTTAATTACAATGTGCAAGTACTTAATTTACTTAAGTTGATGTAACATTTTCATTTGTGTAGAATTGATGTACAACTTTTGTGCCAGTGTGTACAAAAATCATGAACTACCCTATATTTGTTTAATTTCCAGTCAAAACAGCCATTAAACACACATTGTTCATTTTCAGGAGGTATTTCTGAAGAGATTAGATATAAGATAATCTATGTTTTGCATAAGGAAAGGCAAAATCGAAGGAAATTAAGTGTTCCCAAAACAGGAGTTCAAAAAATTATTAGAAGATACAGACTCCTATCAACCATGCATCCATAAAGACAAAGTGTGCACACACTAAATACTGAAACATTTGATATTATAATTAGTTATGAGTTGTTCTGTGTAATTTTCTGTTAAATATATATTTTCTGCATTTTTCTGACACTGAAAAATGAATAACTCACACTTCATGGCTGTTTTGACTTGTAATTAAATAAATGAAGGGGGTCTCTGATTTTTACACAGTATTGTGTAATCATCATATTGTCATAAACCTTAAGTAACGGCATAGGTAAGTTGTGTAGTTGTAATAGTTGTGACGTTTGATTTTTTAATGTTTCGTGCCAGGCTGTGTGGTCGCCCTTTCTGCTACTACTGCTGCAGTAATACAGTGAGCACCCAGCAGGGCGGCAGTAGAGAGCGCTGTTGTAAGGACTGCTACACTCAGCACAGTGCTGTGGTTGAGCGCCACCCTCAGGACGAGCTGGGCAGTCCTACTCAGCCATCGTACAGCCCCATGGCATCCACTCCCACCAGAGCCAGCATGCCCAGCGTCACAGGTAAGACGACAAGCTCTGCTCCTTGTCTAGTTTTTAATATTTAATATTTAATACTGCAATCTACAAAAAATCAACCAAAGTACTGACAAGTGTCAGAAACCACATAAGCAAGTCTATTTGAGATTACTTGACCCAAGTTTGTGATGATTTAGGCATCCAGTTTGCACAATATTAAGTGGTAGTTATAGGTTTTCATTGCTTCTTAGTTTTTATTGCCTTGTAGCTCCAGTACAAAAAAAGCCATCTTTAATAGTCCCAATAGTTCAATAGTCACCCAAATGTTTCTCGTAAATAAATCCCCAAAACTTCTCTCTCTTGGCTCAGATCACATCCAGGTCTTCCTTGAGGTTGTGCACTTATTGATGTGGTTTAGGTTACAACATACGTGAGCTACAAAAAAATGAACAAAATCTAGCACTCCTGTTTCTTAGTTAGAGTGTTGCCCCGTCTCTTAGTGACCACGAAAGACATTGTTCAGCTGTTGTTGATGCTTGCAAGGAAAGCTATCATGATCAAATGGGTTGGGGACAGCCCTCCTTCTTATAAAGACTAGATGACCCTGATAAAGGATTTATTAGGTCTGCAGAGACTTGAATTCCATCTTAAATGTAAACTTCAATCATTCAACAAGACATGGGACAGACATCTTAGATGCTTGGGGATTAAAAGGATTTCTTGTAGGCATCCCTAACTGTAACTTATTGATATCCTTACCTATAACTTCTAATATCTGTGTGCTAAACTGTGTAACTCCTAATGACCACATGTTTAACTATGTAACTTGTAATATCCATGGTATAAAGTAGTCATATAACATATAGCATATAACTTATTCTTTTTTGTTTTTTGATCATTTGATGCCATTCGTCTCTATATCTGTAGAGATGGCATATAAAAATATGTCTTCCTTCTGTTTGCTTTCCTGAACAAAACCTACCAACCACATTTGACAGAAGAAAACAACAGGTGTTGTGCTGAAATCTGCCTCCCCTGCAGTATCATGACATGTGCTAGATTCCGTTTGAGATGTCCGTTTGAGTTGTTTCTGTTATTCAACATATATCTTTGGTTAAAAATAGCAAGACTGACAGTTACTTATATTCAGAAGCAACAGAAATTGTGAACATAGTCTGTAGTGTCCATATGCCTGTGTGACGTTGTGCACATAAAGGGCAGTCGGATTTCAGCAAAACCCCCGTTGTCTAAAATAGCTGACCAAAACATTGAGCTACACTGTGAAGTTTTGTTCATATTTTTATAGCTCACAGTAAATCATTCTATGTCTCAGATCACCCTGGCAAGTCTGCATGACTCTAATCAAGACCTGGACGCGATTTGAGCAGGTTGAGAGAAGTTTTGGAGATGCATTTATGAAAAAGACTTTGGGTGACTATTGACGTCTAGTGTTAGCACATTAGTCTCATAGCTCCTGTGCTTATCTAAAGAAGCAGAATTTGGACACCAGTCATGTCTTGGCTAATCAGCTACATCTGGGGTGAGTGGAAAATTGTGTAAACTTGATTTTTTTGAGCTTTGAAGCGTGCTCTAAAGAGACGATTTCACAGATAGAACACCAGCAGAGTGTGCGACTGTGTTCTCAGTGCTTTGGACGATATCGCATCAGTCAGGGAAAACATGCCAGAAATTACACAGTAACCCAGGGAAATCTTCTTAGCATGTTATCACTGCAATCTGGGACTAATTGGTTTGCAAATCTGTAATGAGATTGATTTGCTCTCGACCACACAGTGGCGCTGCAGTCCCCCCGGCCAGACGACGCAGTGTTCGACATCATCACAGACGAGGAGGTGAACTGCATCTATGATGGCAACTCCCTGCCATACACCACTGCTCAGTCTCCTGGAAGCGGGCAGCAGGGGCTAGATGAGCTGTGAGTCACATTCACACCCACACATACAGAGACATCCTGTGCAAGGCTTTCCAGTATCTCTGCCTGTGTTACCATTCAGAAGTTTGAACTCAGTTGTCAGTGTGTTAATTGTACATATCATAATAACGTATAGGGCACGTTTAACATTTGTCTAGTATTTTTTTCCCTTTAGGTTCATATATAACATTTGTGTGGTCTAATTCATTTAATATGACCATTTTCTGACTCTTTATCCCTTTATTTAATTAAACTGGCCGCTTTTGTTACTGTGCAGTTAAGACTGATATATGTAAATGCTCTCTGTTCTGATTCACTGCCGTGTATTACACCTCATTGAAAAAAGCAATCAAGGCTGAAACATTCCTTATACGTTATAAGTGAGTGTGTGGGGCTAAACTGCTATGAATAGGTGGATATATGTAAATGTGTTGTTTTTTGTGACATCATACAAACAGTGAATTCAGTGAATGGTACAATTTAAAACTTTGACAATTTTACATACTACCTCAAACTCTTATTTCAAAACTGCGGTTTTCCATGCTACATTTATCATAGATTTTAGAATCATTTTAGACATTTGCAACCAAACTGGTTTTACATTATTGAAAAGGGTAGTGTGTGTCGCTGCACTGGAGTATGGGCAGTGTTAAATGCAGTTATATTGAATATTGCAGCAGCAGTGGCAGTGCCAGTGGGGGTGATGTCACTACAGAAGAGTCTGAGGAGCTGCTGGCTTCAGCGCAGGACGCAGAAATCTGCCTGCTCAAGTCCGGAGAGATCACGTATGTGCACACACCGCATTAAAGCAAAGCTTAGGCTAAAAATCTGATTTACACAAATGTCCACTCACCCTGGATGTAGACCATCAGCCAAGACATGTTTGGTGTCTAAACTTTTAACTTTGCTTCTTTAGTTTAGCACTGGAGCTATGAGGTTCAAGATGCTAAAACAGTAGGAGTCAATAGTCACCCAAATCTCTTCTGCAAATACATCCCCAAAACTTCTCTCAACCTGCCTAAATTGCATCCAGGTCATCATTAAGTTTGCACAGACTTGTCAGTTTTTTCAAGAATTTGATACTGATTTGATTCACATGGTCATTCCGAAAGATTGCTGTACATTACAGGAAGCGTAGGGGGTGATTATGCCTGTTTTGTAACACCATAAAAGAATAAATAAACAGATGGACCTGTGAATGATGGTGGTGGCAAAGGGGCAGGGGCCAAAAATTACACAATTACACAATTAGTATTTTAATCGAATAATAGATTAATCAATTAGTTGCAGCCCTACAGTCTAATCCTCTCTCAAAAGACATTAATAGAAACCAAAAGAGAGTCTGCAAAACAGTGCATATATAGAGAAGAGCAGATCTGTTTGTTTTTCTGTAGGTAGTGGGTCAGGTAGGCTGCGTGTCCTGTAGAGTGACTGTGTGTCATGTGTGTTTCCTTACAGGCTGTCTGTGCCATTCTCTGTGGAGGAAATTGCTGAGTTTGGAGAGCAGTTCAGAGAGCTCTTCATTAAATCTAGTTGCTACAGTCTGGTCCCCATCACTGTGGGTGCTGCTGGGCCCATCATCAGCTGGGTTTTCTCCTCTGCACCAAAGAGCATCTCCTTCAGCGTGGTGTACCGAGAGAGCACAGACATACCAATAGAGCAGGCCAAGGTAACCCAGGCTACCGTTTAAAACTTAGCAGTAAATGTTTGGAATCAATGTTTTTAGTGTGTGTGTGTGTGTGTGTGTGTGTGTGTGTGTGTGTGTGTGTACTTGGTATTGCCAGATACTTCAGGATCAGGTATCGGTGTTGGAAGCATAAAATTAGTATCGGTGCATAGTTAACAATAATGTAAACAAATCTAGATGTAACAATACATGACCATAAACAAATCATTACAGTATATTATTTTTCCTTAATAACTTCTTGTTCCCCAGAGACTTCAGATAGTGAATAAAACATCTAAACATGTTTGTATTTAATTTATGGCATTTCAGTCTTCACTGTAAATGTTATGATTTAATAAAATAAATAATTAATTTGACAGAGTGATTCAAAATATCTGAGCAGTAAACGTAGGATGCTGTGGAATAAACGTGAGTGACGTGAAGGTAAAACTTTTTCAGAATGTGCTAGACATCGTCTCACAGGCTCTTTAATGCATCTCTCTCTTTTTTGCAGGTCCTGATCCCCCTGACCAGGTGTAACTCTCATAAAGAAAGTATGCAGGGCCAGCTGAAAGCACGCAACCCTGGAGAATACTCACTCATCTTCGACAACTCCTTCTCCAGGTCTGTAATCAAAGCCCCTTTTGGAATATTTGTCTATCTGAACTAGAAGTATATTGAGATTATATTGCCTTGCACTGTATTAAAACACACTGGAAAACTCTTGATGTGACAAGATTACAGATTCGCTTGCAATATTTGGACCAAAATTATTTATGATGGTTTGATCACAGGAATACCTTAATTCATCAAAACCCCCCCAGAAACATCTGTAACTGTGATAGGTCATAATGCCCGCTTGCATATTAAAACCTCTGAGGTCATGTGTCATTCTGTAGTCTTTTCTCTGTGGGAAAAATGAACAGCAATTCCAGAAATTTCTGCTGTTGCATCTTGTGGTAAACAAAAATGTTCCAAAGCTGATACATTTTGAAAGGATTTCACATTAATTTAGGATGGGTTGCACCAACAAGGATTAAGTTAAACAGAGTGTAGAGCTAATCAAGGATTTGTTAATCTTTTATTTTATTTCATGTTGTGTTACACCACTTAATTTCAAACATGGATTAACAAACCTGTGATTAAAGGCTTAATCAATGATTACAAACGATTCCGATTAATTCCGATTGTCAGCAATAATGGATTTGGTAGTATAAATAGGCCAATGTTCCGCTCAACAGTAAACATTGTTGAAAAAACAGCTCTCACAGACAAAGAGGGAATTCAGACATATAAACAGTTTACCGTTGTTAGACCCGGAGGCCAGCTGTTGGCGGGGGTGGGTGGCGGCATTCTGTATGTTATTTTGCGTTAAATTTTACAAAATCTTACAGTACAAGCTTAATACTCAAATTTAAAGCCTTTTAGCCTGTCAGCTAGCTATCTGTCAAGCTCATTCTAGATCAACTAGTTCAACAAAACCACATTCGGACCTGAAGTACATTTTATTTGTCCTCAGCTGTTTTCTTCATAACACGCAATTTGTAACTACAAATTGTATGTGCGTTAGCGAGATCCCTGTGATGTGCTGTTATCTTCTGTTTCAGTGATGCGCGGAATAGCTACTTGAGTGTTTGCTCTCTCATGTGAGGAGAACAGTTAACCATCATTGAGAGAGTGTGTGTTACAAGCAAGATTTCTGAGGTGCTTTATATCTAATTTTACTTAGGGAAAGAGAGAGAGATCCTCTGTTTTGCACAAAGCACCCATTTTTTAAACACACCACCAAAATTGGAAGTTTAAATTTAATCCCCAAATGAAGTTTAAAGAAATGGTGCAACAGGATTAAATTTAATCTGGATTTAATGTAAAAGTTATCAAGGATTAAATGAGCTAAATGTGAAACTAGGTTTAAAGTTTGATGCAACAGGATCAATAGATAAACCTTGATTCAATCCAAGTTTAAACTTAATCCTTGTTGGTGCACCCCATCCTTAATGTTCTATTAAATTTCGACACTATTATATGACATCAGATTTTCAAACTGTTGGCCTCTACTACCAAAGCAACTTAATTACCACATTTTACAAAATTTGCTGGTTTGCGTGGGGCATTTTGAGATCTTATGATCTCAGTTCAGTGTTAGCTTGCATGTAGCTGCATTCATATTTTGGCTTCAACAACCTCAACCTCAATAAAAGTAATTCCAAATATCCAGTGAAAATGTACATGCGGCAGGTTTGCAACATTTTATTTATCACAGGGTGCAGCAGCAGTGGTTTTTGAAAACAGCATTCAATTTTCTCATAGAGAAAACCAGCTTAGACCTGGAGTTCCTAATGCAGGCAAGACACCACCTACAGAATGACAACATGACTTCAGAGGTTTAGTAGCCTATATTACATTAATGTTTAAAGTAAAACGCCAGTATTCCTTTTGTTGAATAGTCATTGAATCCAATGGAAAAAAAAAGGCACATTACAATGTAGAAAACATCTATTTGAACGTTTAAAGCCTCTACTGTGGCTCCTAATGTGCTCCAGACCAAACCGAACAATCTGCTTCAGATGGCAGGCTTCTCTGAGCCAACGCTCCTAATGTGGACACTCTGTAAGCACACTAAGCTATTAGTCACATAACATTTACTGAGTAAGCTGCTAGTCTAACTGCATGGCTAAGCTGCTACACAGCTACTGCAGCCACTCACGCCAGTTACAGACTTCACCTTTCACTACAGTCAGTGTGCTCGTGAGCTTATATTAATAACAGGATATCTCTAACATGAGGATTTCATAGATAAGTCATTCTTAACCCCTGACAATCCCTGGGCTTATAACATACTTAGGCTTATTATTCAGTAACTACAGGGACTTCAATACAAACTGCTCGAGCTGTTCTCACGTTATAGAAGTATGCAGTAAAACTTTGGGCTTACCAGAGGACCCTGGCCATTTGAAGGGTTAAATGTATGTCAGAAGAGGGCTTTTTTGACAACCATCTCGTGAGTTACGACCCAGAGCCTATCACTGGTTTAAACACTGTGTTATTTTGAGGATACTCGGTATTCTAACTTTTTTAACTGTTAGAATTGAAATATATTCAAATATTTGACAAACAAACCAGGGGGAAATTCGGTTTTAATCTCTGATCCCATCTGACACCTTTAATGTACGTGCTTAAGCAACTGCCCATTATAAATGCGTTTTCATCCAGTGGGTTTTCAGTTCTGTTCTTACTACAGGGAAACATGTCAAAATGTCCATGGAAGTAGACCATATGCACTTATTATAGAACTTTAAGAAACTGCCCATTGACGTCTCTTATAAGTGTGTTTTTAGTCAGTGGGTTTTCAGTTCTTTACTAAGAACAGGGAAGTGTGTCAAGTTTACTGTTCATGGTGACAGATCGTGTGCTACAGACGCAGCAGATGGAGATTAGTTTAGTTTAGTTTGTTTATTTTGACAGGGACCATACACAATATACATTAGTCTCAAAAGAGAAGAGATGTTTTGCACCAAATTTAGCTGTAAAGCAAATCTGCAGTCCCAGGGCAGGTAATCATATGAATAATACTAAAAGTACAATATACAGTACAAAATTACAGAAACAAAACACAATATCAGTTAAATATATAGCCAACCCCAACCAACTGAAATGCATTCAAGACCCTCATCAGACAGACGGACAGTATTCCTTTAACAGTATATATATTATACAGCTCTAATCGGACTACCTCCCTCATCCTCTATCTGACTCTAGTGTGTTCATGACTTTCTTCTTGCAGGTTCATCTCAAAGAAAGTGCTTTACAGACTCAGCGTGGAGCAGCCGCTGGTCTACGATGGCAGCGACTGTTCGTAACTGAGAAGCTTCCCTCGTACACATGCTTCTGTATGTACTGGGTCTAGAGGCTACTACTCTTTGAGAGATCTCTAATGACTCTATTGATGTTGCTATCTAGCCTCTTGCATTTTCATGCAGTCACTTAAAAGCCACATTCATTCTGGGAGCACTGACCACTAATGCCATATCAGTACACCCTCAACAAAGACATGATCCAATGCCACATATCAAAATGGCAAGCTTTAAAAGTTAATATGGCACCATACTTGCCCTCTGGGGAACAGAACGGCAGGTATAAAGTGGTCAAGCCCACTGGCTTGTAGTGGACTGTGTGGTCAGTAGAATAGGTTTAGTGTGAAGAAGGGTTCTGACACGACATGCACTACAATATAAGCTTTATTACTGAGCTGAATTGCAGGGAAGATGTCGAACGTGGAATAGTAGCTATTTTTATAGATACAGTGTTGATCAACAGACAAATATGCAGCCATATAGTACAATTAGGGATTATGAACACAAGCATATCTGACATACACTACTGTTCAAAAGTTTGGAATCAGTGTTTTCAATAACGTAAAAACAATGTGGAAAAATGAAGAAATGCTAGATGTATCTGTTTAACATTCATAATTAAGTTGTAATAAAATTATTATTCAGAATGAAATAAAAGCAAATAAATGTCTAGAGTGAAATTCTAATACAATGATTATCTAGAAATAAGTTATAACAAAAAAATTAACTTCTAGAATTTTGTTTTGATAAATTAACATCCAGAATTAAGTTATATGAGAGTTATGACCTGACAAAAATTACTGTAAATATTTACTGTAAATTATTTATTATTTAACAACTTTGTTCTCCTTGTTGTTCAAATGCTTGAAGTGCTGAATATGTATAATACATAAGTCTAGACTGTATAAGTTGGTGTTGCATAGAAAATAAGAAAAAATCTTAAAATGAAAAGTGATTCCAAACTTTTGAATGGTCATGTGTGATTTGCTTCGTTTTAGATTTCTATCAGAAATTCAGAAAATGATTTTTTATATGTATGAAATCTAAACAATGCATTTGAAGAGCTTTACAGTAGTTTTAAATGGAGTTATGCAGTAACTGAAGTTTGGGAGAAAGACCACACCTGAAACTCTTAGAACCTGTTTATTATACTGAATGTCAAGCCTGAAAGGAGGCCAAGTTTACTGAATCTCAGTAGGAATTCTGGTCTCTGAAGAACAGAATGTCTGTGCATGAGCATATTTTTAGAGCACAAAGTTCAAATTTAATTAGCAGCTTGTGACAGACAGCACAAATATCCCATCTCGTTATGTGAAAGCGGCGGTTCTGCAAGTTCAAAGACTTCCTTGGGCGTCGTGCAAAGATTCTCCATATGCTGAGCCGAGATCTGTAATTGTACTAGCACACCATAATAAGAGGCAAACTCGCTTCCCTTTTTTTATAGCCCACAATGCGTTTTCTGTTCCGCTGATGTGAGGCAAAATTTTACAAGCAGTATCTTTTTTTTCTGCTGATGTTTCTGTGCTCTATTCAAATAAGACTCAATCTGTAACTCTGCGGGATAAACCAAGCCGAACCTGTTCACAATAAAAATGCAACTGCCGTATTTTCAGATGTTTTGTAACAGATGAAGATGTTTACTGGGAGGCATTGAGCTGTCAATTTTGCAAATGTGCACTTTCTGGATGCCTGTTTTTGAGCTGAGTTCTGCGAGCCCTTTATGGGTTTTTAGTGGCATACTGTTATGTTACTGACAGTAAGTACAAGAACAATGTGTTACACCATTTACTATAGTATCCCACAGATGATATTAGATACTAGGGCCTGACCGATACGTAGTTTGCCTCATAAAAGCATTCGCTATTTGATTAAACAGTCGTGTGTAAAAGTTTCACCACTCTTGGTCAAATTATATGCTTTGTTGATTTTCTAAGTGAAAATAAGTTAACATGTCTTCTATGGTTAACAGTTGTTTTTTTGCTAAATTTGCAGTTTCTGTTTATTTGCTAAGTTTAAAAATATTTAACATATAGTATAAAGTATAAAGAATAACATAATAAATGTGCCATAACTTTTGCACATGCCACATTGTATGGGGTATTTTTTTCCAATGTGTTAAATTCAGCAAAAAAACAGAAATTATGTATTAAAATGCTCAAAAGTGTGTTCTCTGTAGAGGATGCGATCAATTATTTTCACTTACAAAATCAACAAAACATGAAATTTGACCAGGGGTGCACAAACTATCATTGGCAAAGCATCAATAACGTGTCTTATTAACATATCTGTTTGTATAGAAAAGCATTCAGGAATGTGGTGTTATTTTGAACAACGGACTTCATGAATACACCACTGTGTCTGACCATCAGATCAAGATATGAAAGCATCCCATAAAGACAGAGGCTGTTTGTGTTTTGAGTTGAAATGAATTACAATTTTCTTACCTTTCCGCACAGTAACGGTTAAAGGGACATTCTGACCTAAAACTAGCATTCAGTATGTTATTTGTCATGTTCTGTAATATTCTGTCCAGCCCAGCTTTGCATTTCCCAGCCTGTTTTCCTGTTTTCATTCTCTCACTACAATTCCCAGCATGCATTACACAAATATGTCATACAGCCCTTGGGAATCCCCACATGGCATTAAAGGAATTCTGACTGCTAGCGTAGCCACTTATGTAGTGGCTAATGAATGCAGACATGATTCCATGATTACAGGCTTCCTTCAGCATTAGCCAGCTAGTAGGAAAAAGAAGACGACGCACCCTCAAGTATCCCCCCCGAAAGCCCTTGTAGTTTTTCAGAAGTTTCCTCCCACTTTTAAGATCGTCAGAAGGGGTTTTCCTTTAAATCGGAAAATCTCACTCTAAACACTACTTTGACACCACTGTAGGAGGTGAGTATCCACGTTTACAACAGGTGTAATAATGGTTAAATGTTTTAGTTTGGCCAAAGTCCTCTTTAACACAGTCATATCCATCAGCAAAGCACCGTGTGCCTAAATCTACTGGATTTGTTTATCAGAATTTTTACCTCCTTAAATTAAGCATCAGTAGCAAAACTTTCATGTCGGTCAGGCCCTACTGGATACTATAAGACTCTGTAAACAGGTGTATGGGACTGACAGTGATCATAGTACTGCATGTAATGTATGTGCTACTGTGACTGACAACTGTGATGGTTTGAAATGGAATCATGAATGTGATTAAACTGACTGAAATCTGTGATTCTTTCAGCTGTTTTCTCTTTGTGTTCTGCAGTGTTTTTTTAAACTAAATTGAATTACTTCAATCATTACTTTGCTGAAAAATGACATTTACACAGTTCTCTCTTACCCCAAATGTAGTCAGTCAGCCAAGACATGAGTGGTGTCTGTTACAAACAGCCTATGTAGCTAGCAGGTAGTATTAGCATGCATTGAGCATGTTAGCATCATATAAACTGCCTGAATCATCACACTCATTTCTTAAAGCTGTTGAGTAATCTCAAGTAGACTTGCTTGTGTGGTTTCTGATGCTGTATAACATGGTGTTATATCATATGGACAAAATGCAGGCTTTAAGGTGGCTGCTGCTCATGTTAAGAAATTACATATTTATATTTTTGTGCCTAATAACACAGAGAAGTACAACCCTATTGTAGTGAAGATGTGACATATTTCAGGCTAAACTAGCTGCTACGCTCCCTGTTTTCAAGATTACACCCTATAACGTCAGTTTTTGAACAGTAATTTACATGAATTTTGCAGGAAAAAAAGCTATTTTTCCTGTCACACTTGTATTGGATCTTGGAGTTTGTGATGGCAACATCAAAAAAGTGACCTATCACTCATGTAGTGCATTTTTGGTCCTGTTTGACATTCTGTTAAAGCCCATCATTAATCAACCCTGCCCATGTTGTCATTGAACTGCTGGTCTTCTCACTTGGATGTGTGCTTTGTCTCTGTTGGACCATCTTGTACAGACTCTTCAGGATCTTTCCCATGTATGGTAGAGGCCAGTAGCACTGGCTTGTTGTCATACCACTTTGTGGTAGCCAGGACTATTTCTGGCCACCATCATTGATGCTCCTCTCCCTTCTTGTTGCATGGCATAAGCAGACATGGCTTTGGCACTCTTCATTACGGTTCCAGTTGCTGGAAAGCCCTTTTCCAGCGAAGCATCCCTGAGGCTTCAAAACGGTGTGAAGTACTGGTCAAAGAACAGCTGACTTCCTGTGGGAACGGATTCAACCATATATAGGACTGCTGCTGCCCAATCTTCCTTGTTCCCAATCTTTTGCCATTAAATGTATTCTTTCCTTGGTACACTTCAAAGTCCAGCATCAGACCATCTTGAGAGGCGAGAACAAATGCCTTCAAGCCAGTCGGGTATGGCTTGCCTGGAACAAACTGCCTGATTGGACAGCGGCCTGTGAAAGGAATGATTTGCTCATCAATGCAGAGCTTTCCTGGTTTTGGTTCTTCTTTGTTGCCTCAGTCACATCAAGGTCATTGACAATTTTCAATAAGTTTCTCAGCTTGAAGAACTTGTCATTTTGTTGCTGATAATTGGCACTTTTGCTTTTTTGGCCCAAAACATTTTGATTCTGGGATAACCAAGGCAGGCCATGCGTACTGATACGCCAAGGAAAGCCTTCGTTTCTTGTGGAGTGGTATTCAGAGAAACTCCTCTAGTCTGCAGCTTCCTTTGAGTCGTCAAAAACCTTGCTATCGATGTATTGGGAAAAGTACTAAATTGGATCTGCACAAACTGTAGGGTCATCTTGATAATCAGGAGGCCTAGGTAGCACAGATATGAATCTGTTATGGTGGAAAAGCAGAATAAAAAGTTAATTTAATGAAATTTAATGAATACCATTATTATTCATCTAACCTCCAAGCACTCTGATCTAATACATCTGAAATGTAGTTATTTTTATTCGCTTCAAAACTCCAACCAATCTGATCACAATGTAGTGTAGTTTATAGTCCTTTTATTTACTTAAACTCTAACCACTCTGATCACAGTGAAATATCGTTAATAGTTATTTTATTTACTGTACTTTCTCTTGCCATTAGTTCAACAATGCATTGTTTCTATATATTGTACTGGTTATAAACATTATTTGTGGTAATCCTAGAACTAAATAAAGCATATGTGCTGCTCATGGCCCACAAAGGACGACAGCTGTCCTGTTGGTCTTTGTCTGTGATCTCATCTGATGAGCAACCTGCCTCTTCATCAGAACTCTCTAACTCTTCTTCATCAGGTTTAAACTCATCTGTCAAGTCTGAATCTCCCTCATTTATTTTCTACGAAATCTTGGTGTCCACTAAAGTGAATATTTACAAAACGGTAATTATTCAATTCCAAAAATAATTAAATTGCTCTCAGACCTCATAAAACAGTTCATAACAAGCTCAAAAGCAATAAAATACATGAACTTCATAGTAAAAATCAGGAATTGAAGAATATTTGACTTACCCTTTCTTTATTTTCTGATGGTGGACTGTAGTGTTAGATTTATGCCAGATGTCTTCCAAAATGTTCCATTTTTGACTCATCAGTCCACAGAATGTTATCCCAAAAGTCTTGGGGGTCATCTAGATGTTTTTTTGGCAAATGTGAGACGAGCCTTTGTGTTCTTTTTGGTCAGCAATAGTTTGCACCTTGCAGCTCCTCCATGGATGTCATTTTTGCCCAGTGTCTTTCTTATTGTGTAATCATGTACATTGACCTTAACTGAGGCAGGTGAGGCCTGCATTTTTTGCTTTTGATGTTCGTCTGGGTTCTTTTGTGACCTCCTGGATGAGTCGTCGGTACACTTTTGGCGAAATTTTGGTAGGCCGGCCACTCCTGGGAAGGTTCACCACTGTTCCAAGTTTTCTCCAT